CAAGGCATTCATCATGAGCAGGGGCCTCTGAGATTCCTGTCACCTCCTGGAGGGATGGGCACGTGGAATCCACAGTGTGGCCAGTGGATGCCATTTACTGAGCCCTTAACTTCTGCTCAATCCTTATAATAACCCCGAGAAGCAGAAACTGGACCCCATTTCTAGTATGAAATACTGAGATCAGTGCCTTCCTGCCTGGCTCCAGAGCTCTCCTTTTACTTAACCAAGGGCTTCTCTCTCCCTATGCATGATTAGTTTTATATATATATATATATAAAATTTCAGAGAGGAAGGTAGAGGGAGAGAGAGAAACATCAATCATTAGAATCACTGATCAGCTGTCGCCTGCATGCCCCCCCACCCGTGCATGTGCCCTAGCCAGGAATTCAACCAGGACCTCCTGGTTCATGAATCAACATTCAACCACTGAGCCACACTGGCCGGGTTGATTCGCTTGTATTAGGGCCAATCTTAAGTTTAAAACACTCTGCCATTGCATATTCAGTACTAGTTTTTAAAAGCACATCATAAAGGATATGTAAGTGATGTATCACATTAGTGATGGTTTTTTCAAGCAAAAGCATAGAGTGATTTGATATCTATAATGCAAGCTGGGAGTGGGTGGGGTAGGTGTGCCAGGGGCCTTTGCTTGCCTGGGCAACTGAGAAGTCAGCTCTGTGGCCCAGAGTGAGTGCCCTTGGGCAGGCAAAATCCGCCCCTGGGCCTTAGCAGTTCTGACAGGAGCAGCTTGGAGACGGCAGCTCAGGTTCCTGTAAGTCTGTGGCAGTTTGGAAAGAAATGGAAACTTACCTCAGGTGTGCTTGAAGGACACATACCTTTACTTTCTCCTAGTCTTTCATTGTAATTCCTCCAGTTGTTCGGAGATTGAGAAACTCAGTGTGTTCAGCTGGTTCTAAACTTCCTCAGCTAACAACTCCCTACCACTCCCCAGCCCCACCCCACCTCACCCAAGTATAGCCCCAGATTTTAGGGACCTGGAAGCCCCTCTCCCCACGCCCATCCCTGAGATAAGGTCAGTTGGGAATTTAAAAGGTCGTGGATGTCGGGAATAACTGGGGAGGAGGAGGAATGGGTTTTGGCTTTAAGGCTCTGAAACTTGGAGGTTTTTACAGGGCTAGTTGCATCTTTTGCGAACAACCTGAAAGTCATTAGCGCCCCACTGCGGAATTCAGAGCTAAGCTGGTCACAATGGTTAACACCTTCTTGGACCATTTGACAATCATTCGCCTCTGCGCCTTTTATTTATTCATTTTTATTTCTCTATTTTGCCGGCAGGGAGGTCCCGCTGCCTTGGCTTTGGGGAGCACCAGAAGTCGGGGGGACGTTTCCACCGGCTGCCAGGGTGAGTCCATCTCCAGGCTTACAAAGCGCGTTCTCTGCAAGTTACCGCTCAGCTTCTGGGTTGAGCGCAATGACCGCTTCCCCTGGGCAGCTCGCTGTAGCCCAGACGAGCGCGGGGAAGCTGGGCCTTTTGGTGGATTTGGGGGGGCGGGGAACACCCCGCTTTTCGAAGGCGCAGAGGCTGCGAGTCTCTGCAAAGCGGAGGCGCGGCGTCCACGCGGGACCCGGCGTCCCGCCCCGCGCCGGCCGCGTGGAGCTGCCTCCGCGGGAGCCGGGCCGGGGGGGCTCCCTGGCGGCCCTCGGGGGGGCCCTCCCACTCTTCCCAACTTTCCGGCCGCGGGCCGGGGGCGGGCGCCTCTCCCGCGGGGACGCTCTCGGTACTTAAGGCGCCTCGGCGGGGCCGGCTCGCCAGTCGGAGCGCGCGGCGCGGCGGAGAGGAGGGAGGCGGGGCATGGGGCTGCCGCGGGCCTGAGAGCACGGAGCGCGGGCGGCCGGCGGCACGGTGAGCGGGCCCGGGCTCCCGGCGGAGGGTTAGGGCGCGCCCCGCTCCCCCGGGGCCCCGCGGGCGCCCCCGGTTCCCCCCGGCTCCCCTGGATGCGCGTGCGGGCGCCGCGTCCCGAGCCGGGAGGCGGGCGAGCGCTGCGGCATCTCCCGGCTTCCCGGCGGCGGTCCCGCAGCCCCCTCCCCACCGACCCCTCCTCCCTTTCTTCCTTCCTCCATCCTCTCCTCCTCCTCCGGGCTCTCCTCCCTGCCTCCGGCGGCTCCGGGGTTGTGGAAGGATTAGGGGGCGGACGGCGGTGCGGGGCACGAGGCTGGCGGGAGCCTCTCCCTCCCCCACCCCCTTCCCACCCGCGGGCTCGCACCTGTCCCGGCCCCGAGCCGCTCGGCGCCCGGGCTCCTGCGGCTCCGCTGGGCCCCGGCCTGGGCTCCCTTCTCCGGCGGCTCCGAGGGGCCGGGGACCGAGCCCCCGCCCCGCGCACAAGTTTCCGTCCCGCCGCGTGCGGCCCCGCCGCGGGCACACCTGTCAGCCGGAGAGGCTGCGGCCCGGGCAGCCCCGCAAAGTTTCGGGGGGCAGATGGGCGGGGTACGCCCTTGGTTGAGGTTTGCCCCTTCTATCGGCCGGGGGTGGGGGTCGGTCGGTCTTGGGGATCGTCCCCGAACCCCCGTGTCCTTGAAGCCGAATGCGCTAAGGGGGGAGGGGGAACGTGCAGGGACAAGAGGCGGCCTGGGCTCCCCTCCGCTGGGTTTGGGGGGGACACGGCTTCCCCCCTCCCCCCATCTGGGCAGGGGCACCTCAGCCGGAGCCCGCACACCGGCGTGCGATTGTCCGGGAGGTCGCCGACCGCAGGATCCCGGTCCTCAAAGGGGTGGGAGGCGCCGGGGTGGTGCCTCCGATGCCCGCGCCGGGCGCGGAGGTCCCGCCCGGGGAAGGGGATGCCGCCTTTGTCTGCAGCCACACTTTGCCACGGCGGCCGGGGCCCGGGGAGATCGATGAATGGGACCTGGTCCGACCGATTCCTTGGGTTTTTCCCTCGCGGGGTCCTGGGAAGCCGGCACGTGGGTGTGGCCGGCGCCGCCTTCCCCAGAAGGGGAGGCGGGAAGCCGCCGAGCGCGAGCCTTCCCGGCGGCGTTAACCTGGTGGCACCGCCTGCAGCTCTGCACCGAGGCGGCGCGCCGGCGGCGAGACCCAGCGGCAGGTGCGGGGCCGGTGGCCTCCGAGCCCCCTCTGCCTCTCCCCAGATCGCAGGTGGGCAGCAGTGCCCGCAGCGCCCCCTCGGCATGTCACCTCCTGGGCCGTGGGTGGCAGGGTCTGGGGCTCTGGGCCCTGGGCCGCAGGAGCATGCCCGGAGGGGGTGGGGTGGGACCTGGGAGCCTGCAGAGGAAGCACGCGGCAGGCAGGCTCCTCGGGATGGCGGGGCAGAGCGCCCGGACGCCGCCCCGCTTCCCGGAGAGGCGGCCAGGCTGCCAACAGCACTTTCCGGACTGCAGCTGCGGATGGTGGTGCTGGCGCCTGCATCGCGGGCCGGTTTAGGTAGCGACCGGGTGTTCCCGTGGCAAGAAGGCGTATTGGCGTTGGGGTGGGGCTCGGGGACGGCTTCAGTTAACACCTAGAGTTGGAGCAAGCTTGGAAGTGAGACCTCATTGTCTGTAGAGGGTGGGTGGGGTGGGAAAGGGGATTCCTCAGATCAGGCATCCCCCCCACCCACCCCACCCTGCCCCTACAGTCAGCCTTCCCGCTCAGGTAGCCTCTCATAGCTGGAAGTGCTTCCATTTTTCAGGAAATTATTTACCTATGGAGCAAGAAACCATTGGGACCCCAATAGGTGGGGGAGATACCAAGTTAGAGAACTTGGCGAGGTCAGGCAGCCAGGGGGTGGTGGAGCCCTGGTGTCTTTCCAGTCCTGGGCGCCTGTCAGTAGGAACCGCCGTTTCCCACAGTTCAGAGGCGGGAGCCCTCACTGCTGCACACGAGCAGCGTCTGCAGGAGCGGCCGGCGGGCGAGCACAAAGGCTCTGCGCGGGCACTAGGACCGGGCTGATGGGCTTCCGGGCAGCCGCCCTCCCAGGGCTGCAGTGCGGCTGCAGTTCCCTTCGGGAGAGCTGTCCACACCCCAGGCCTCCTTTCCCTCCCTTTCCCGCTCTGCCTTTCCCAGTTGCTTTCCCTTTCTTTCCTGGCTCTTTTGTAAAAGAGGGAAAGATGAGGAAGGAGAGAACACAGGGAAACTTTCTCTTACTGACTGTGCTGTTTGGAGAAGGGAAAGCTGTTTCCTTCCCCCCCCCCCCCCACATCTCTTTATGTTTCCTGCTGTTTCTTCTCTCTTCCCCTCTTCCCCCCCCCCTTTTTTTAAATCCTTCCCTGAGGATTTGTTTCTATTGATCTAGAAAGAGAGGAAGAGAGAGAAACCGATCTGCTGCCCTCCTCCCCCATATGCGCCCCCACTAGTGATCGAACCTGCAACCCAGGCTTGCACTCTGACCGGGAATGGAGCCCACACCTTCTGGCAGACTGGATACTGCGCCAACCATTGAGCACCCGGCAGGGCCCTTCTTCCCGGGCCTCACTGGTGGCTGTGCTTTCCTGGAGCACACTCCCCCCCAGAGTGCAGTCCCTAGCCGTTACGGTGCAGGTAGGAGCTGGGGCCACTAGCTGCCTCCTGGTTCATCCTCCTCCCTATTCCCTATCCCCCCCCCCCCCCCACGTGCTCGGAAGTGCCTCAGGCTCACCCCCGCTGAGGCTTGCCTTCCAGAGTTTTGGGTCAGGCAGGTCCAATTCTGTCATCCTCCAGCTAGGTAGCTCTCTTCAGCTTTGGTTTGTCTGACAATAAACAGTAATAATGCCGCTTTAAGTGCTTTCCCTATGTAACCCATTTAAACCCCAAAGAAGCCGAAACCGGTTTTGCTCAGTGGATAGAGCGTCGGCCGAAGGTCCTGGGTTCGATTCTGGTCAAGGGCACGTACCTTGGTTGCGGGCGTATCCCAGTGAGGGTGTGCAGGAGGCAGCTGGTCTATCCCTCTCAATTCCTCCCTGTGCAAAATCAATAAAATATATTTTAAAAGAAAGAAACCTCAAAGAGGCTATGAGGTTAGTGCTACAACCCACATCTTACAGGGGAATTAACTAAGGGACAAAAGACAGTCCCACAGATAGCGCCGGGGCTGGGATTTGATCCCTAGTGGTCGTAGCCATGCTCAGCGGAAATGGTTTTTGTTACCGGGTCATCTACCCTGTTCTGGGCCAGGCCCAGAGAGAACGCCCCCGTTCCCACTGAGACTGGGGACGCTGCCTCCCGCCTGACGCCCTCCTCTCCCGCCTCCCCCCCCCCCCAGATGCCGGTGCAGCTGACCACAGCCCTGCGAGTGGTGGGCACCAGCCTGTTCGCCCTGGCAGTGCTCGGCGGCATCCTGGCCGCGTACGTGACGGGCTACCAGTTCATCCACACGGAGAAGCACTACCTGTCCTTCGGCCTGTACGGCGCCATCCTGGGCCTGCACCTGCTCACGCAGAGCCTGTTCGCCTTCCTGGAGCACCGGCACATGCGGCGGGCGGCCCGGCCCCTGAAGCTGCCCGCGCCGCCGCGGCGCTCCGTGGCGCTCTGCATCGCCGCCTACCAGGAGGACCCCGACTACCTGCGCAAGTGCCTGCGCTCCGCCCAGCGCATCGCCTTCCCCAGCCTCAAGGTGGTCATGGTGGTGGACGGCAACCGGCAGGAGGACGCCTACATGCTGGACATCTTCCACGAGGTGCTGGGCGGCACCGAGCAGGCCGGCTTCTTCGTGTGGCGCAGCAACTTCCACGAGGCGGGCGAGGGCGAGACGGAGGCCAGCCTGCAGGCGGGCATGGACCGCGTGCGGGACGTGGTGCGGGCCAGCACCTACTCCTGCATCATGCAGAAGTGGGGAGGCAAGCGAGAGGTCATGTACACGGCGTTCAAGGCCCTCGGCGACTCGGTGGACTACATCCAGGTAAGCGTGCCTCCCGGCCGCGTGTGGACGTGCCCAGCCAGCCGGGCACCCCTCCTCCGGGAGGGCCGAGTCCAGAGTGGATGCCTTGTGTGGTGCACATCCTCCTCTGCGCTTGGCAATAGGCGTGTTGGTCCGAACAGCAGGCCTGGGGGCAGAGAGACCTGGATGGAATCCCGGTTCTGCTGTTACTTAACCTTGTGAACTGTGTTCCGATAATAGAAATAGGAAACAGATATATACCCTGTTTCCCCGAAAATAAGACAGTGTCTTATATTAATTTTTTCTCCCAAAGTTGCGCTAGGTCTTATTTTCAGGGGATGTCTTCTCTTTCCACGTGCTAGGTCTTATTTTTGGAGGATGTCTTATTTTCGGGGAAACACGGTAGCATTTACTTTTTTACCAGGCACTAGTGTAGGCTTTTCATACATATTAACTCTTTTAATCTTCAAAATGCTCCCAGGGGATAAGTACTATTATTACCTTCTCTCATAGAAGGCGAACCTGAAGCACAGAGAGGCCAAGTAACTTGCCTCATGTCACTCAGTAGTTGGCATCTACTAATTTTTATGATTATGATGATTATTATTTTACAGAGAGGAAGGGAAAGGGATGGAGAGTTAGAAACATCAATGAGAGAAACGTTGATCAGCTGCCTCCTGCACAACCCCTACTGAGTAGGTGCCTGCAGCCAAGGTACATGCCCTTGACTGGAATCGAACTTGGGACCTTCAGTCTGCAGGCCGATGCTCTGTCCACTGAGCCAAACCAGTTAGGGCTCACATCTGCTCTTATTCGTTGTGCAATAATGCCTCATCACTGGCAACAAGGGGATGAACCCTTCATAAAGAAGTATGGTGAAGATCCTGCCCAGTATGGCTCAGTGATTGAGTGTTGATCCATAACCAAGAGATTATTGGTTCGATTCCTAGTTGGGACAAGTGCCCAGGTTTCAGGCTTGATTTCCCAGGAGGCAGCATGCAGGAAGCAGCCGATCGATGTTCTGCCTTCATAGCCATGTTTCTCTCTTTCTCCCTCTCCCTGAAATCAAATTTTTAAAAAAAGTGTGGTGGCCCTAGCTGGTTTGGCTCAGTGAATAGAGCATCGGCCTGCAGACTGAGGGGTCCCAGGTTCGATTCCGGCCAAGGGCACATGCCCGGGTTGTGGGCTCGATCCCTAGTCAGAGGTGTATAGGAGGCAGTTAATCGATGATTGTGTCTCATCACTGATGTTTCAGTTTCTTTCTCCCTCTCCCTTCCTTTCTGAAACCAATAAAAATATATTTTAAAAAAATAACATAATCTTAAAAAAAAAAGTGGTGAAGAGCAAAAGACATCATGCTTGAAAACACTCAAATATTGTTTTAGTTTTGGACCAAAAAGTCCTACCTTCTCAGTGTCAAATTTGTGTCTGTGTAAGGTAGAGGGACACAAGTGCAAACCCAGCAGAACCCTGAACAGACCCTGCCTAGCTTCCAGTCAAAGGGGTCGCTGACACCAGCCTGAAAATTTTATTAGATGGACAAGGTTGAATGGCTCCAGTTTTCAAATAACAAAACCAAGAGAGAACTGATTAGAGATTGACACATTTCAGTAACAAGTCAAAACTGATACCCAGGACCCCACATTTCTGGTCCTGCATCCATGCTGTCCATTCCCCCGTTTCTTCCCTTCTCTGATCCTGCCAGAAGGTTTCGTTCATATCCAACTGAATGTGTAGTGGCTGTTGCGGTGGCCCACCTGTGTACTAACTCAGTATTAGTACTGAATGAAGTACTCTAATATTTACATTTTCTATACTGTTCCCACCTAAATTTAGCTTTCCATAGATTTTTTTGTTTGGGGTGTGTTTTTTTTAAAGTTATATTATTGCCTGAGAGTTGGTACGTTTATCTTTTTCGGTGTTCCTAGGCCCAAGGACCCCCTCCTCAGCCTTGTAGAGGGGGATGGGAAGCAGTCTTGATTCTGCACTTCATCTAGGGTCAAAGGGCCTCTGAAACTTCCCTGCGGGCTCAGAGGGTTAGCAAAAACCCTTCGCCCTGGCTCCTGCGCATGCGACAGTGACTTTGTCATTTACTCCCTTGAAGCACAAGAATCCTTCCTCCCCCAAACCTGCTCTGTACCCATCTTCCTTTCCTGAGAATTTCCTGTGTGTCCTGGTGGAGCACCTGAGCCAGACTTTCCCGGTAGGGCCCTGGGATCACTCCTTGGGCAGCCTGGGCAGCCTGTCCTCCATCAGCCTTGCCGAGGGCATGTCTTTCCCGCTGTGGGAGGTAACCTGCCCCAGGCGGTGGTGGAGCACAGGAGCTCTGACCTCTAGCCCCGCTCAGCCAGAAGGCCTTCCTGAGGTGAAGGCGGCTGAGCAGCAGGAAGAACGTGGGAGGGTCAGGGCAGGAAGTGGCCATGAGCACTGGGGGGCTTGGTCTGCAAGCTGAGGAGGCTCTGGGAGTTTGGCCAAGGCTCCGTGGGACCTTCCCAGCCTGGCCCAGAATGTAAGACTGTCGGGAGGGAGGGAGGGGGGAGCAGGTATGATGCTCCGCCTGGTTCCCCCTCAGCCTTCTGCTGCTTGTGGCCACCGTGTCTTCCAACATGGAGAGGGAGCGTTGGGTAGGTTGGAGTTTGGGGGGCCTCCCCCTTCCTACAGGCTAATGGCTTTCACTCAGGACCTTCATTTAAAGCATTTGGGGCTTTTGCAGAACAGGGTTTGGTCTCATCTGTGGATACTGTTCTTGGCTCCTTCAGAGGTCAGAAAACCAAGTCCCTTGCCCATACTTATCTGGGCTCTTTGTGCCATCTCAGTAATTTTATAGAAAACACACACGGAGTCAGCCACCGGGCTAAGTGTTCCTAGCCCAGATTCAACTAATGGGGCTACCTGTCAGAATCAGACCATGAGCCTCCCCACGAAAGGAAGGCAAGGGGGCAGGATTTGAAGGCAGCTGCTACCAGAATCTCCATGCCCATCCAGACAGAGTATATTCCAGGTGAGAGCAGCCTTCGGCCATACTGTGCCCCAATCTGAGACTCGGCCAAGGGAGTTCTGAAGGCTTGGCAGCCATGTTGGGGCGGGAGAGGAGGTGTGATTGGTAGATACATCCTCCACTTGGGCTGTGGATCATCCAGAGGCCAGAAGCTGAAACAGGGAAGACCTTGTTGTTAAAATTCTTATGGGATAGTTTTGGGCAACAGCCTCTGGCAAGAGCTTGGCCTTCTGAGGTGTGTCTGCTGGCCTTGGTCTGGGCTCTGTACCTGCACTTGCGTTCTCAGGAGCCTGGCTTCACAGAGGCTAAAGACCAGTCCAGTACAAAGCCTTCCTCCCTTCCCAGGTCCAGCATAGACAGACGCCTGGGTTTCTCTCTCCGCTAGTGGTTGTCAAGCCCGGTGTCTGAACTCTTCTTTTCCTTACTTGCCTTTGTTACTCCTCTCACCCCTTCCGTTTGGCACAGATCTCTTAGCTAGTGGCCAGAAGCGAACCATATGAGAGGGGGCTGTGAGCCGACCGAGGTCAGAATGGGCTAACAGTGCATTTCCTCTGCAGGTGTGTGACTCGGACACCGTCCTGGACCCAGCCTGCACCATCGAGATGCTTCGAGTCCTCGAAGAGGACCCCCAAGTAGGAGGCGTTGGGGGTGATGTCCAAGTAAGAAGTAACTAAGGATTCCTGGGGGTGGGGGCTGGATCTCTTAGCTTCCTAATCCAATTGGATGTCTGGGAAGTGGGCATCTTGATTTCCTAGTACTTTTGGGGGTAGAGGAATATTCCTTTTTGACAGTTTCAAATGGTTCACTTGCTATTGAGCTCCTTTCCTGTCCTTTTGAAACCCGAGGGGAGAAAGTTACTTGCCGGGTATGGAGAGAGCCTATGTTGCCGGGAGGGGCACAGCATTCTGAGCCCATTGGTCCTGCAAGGTGCTTCCTATTTGGTAACACAGCAAGCCCCTCTCAAGTTAGACCCTTGAGAAACCCTAGTTCTAGGTTAATTGCTCGGAGGAGCTCTGGGCAATGTGGTCAGAATGAGGGCAATCGCTTCTTCCAGAGGGTACGGCTCGTATCATACCAGCCCTTCCCAATCAACTTTCCAACCGAAGGGTCAGGACAGGTGACTGGGCGTTGTTTCATCTTTCTCAAGGCCTTCTCTCTAGCACTGCCACAGGCCGCCGCCTGAGACCGCAGGTGGCTTTGGCTGCTAGAGTAACGTCACTGGGACGATCCATACAGACGGCACAGTGGAGAGTTGGGGCTGGTGCTGGGGAGAGAGAGTGTGGTTGGCTCCTCAGAGCCTTGGGTTTCCCAGCCATCGGGCTGGGACTGATGGCCGGGAATTTGAGCAGTGGGCTAGGAACTCAGGGTAGGGAGGCGTCCTGGTCTCCGGTGTGTGTCTTCCGAGTCTCACGGTCTCAGGTGTGGAGGCCCAGCATGTATGGTTCCCTTGCAGATCCTCAACAAGTACGACTCGTGGATCTCCTTCCTGAGCAGCGTGCGGTACTGGATGGCCTTCAACGTGGAGCGGGCCTGCCAGTCCTACTTTGGCTGCGTGCAGTGCATCAGTGGGCCGCTGGGCATGTACCGCAACAGCCTCCTCCAGCAGTTCCTGGAAGATTGGTACCATCAGAAGTTCCTAGGCAGCAAGTGCAGCTTTGGGGATGACCGGCACCTCACCAACCGAGTCCTGAGCCTGGGCTACAGGACTAAATACACAGCGCGTTCCAAGTGCCTCACGGAAACCCCCACCAAGTACCTCCGGTGGCTCAACCAGCAGACCCGCTGGAGCAAGTCTTACTTCCGGGAGTGGCTCTACAACTCGCTGTGGTTCCATAAGCACCACCTCTGGATGACCTACGAGTCCGTGGTCACCGGCTTCTTCCCCTTCTTCCTCATAGCCACGGTCATCCAGCTCTTCTACCGCGGCCGCATCTGGAACATTCTCCTCTTCCTGCTGACGGTGCAGCTGGTGGGCATCATCAAGGCCACCTACGCCTGCTTCCTTCGGGGCAATGCGGAGATGATCTTCATGTCCCTGTACTCCCTCCTCTACATGTCCAGCCTCCTGCCAGCCAAGATCTTCGCCATTGCTACCATCAACAAATCCGGCTGGGGCACCTCCGGCCGGAAAACCATCGTGGTGAACTTCATTGGCCTCATCCCCGTGTCCATCTGGGTGGCAGTCCTCCTGGGAGGCCTGGCGTACACCGCCTACTGCCAGGATCTGTTCAGTGAGACGGAGCTAGCCTTCCTCGTCTCCGGAGCCATCCTGTACGGCTGCTACTGGGTGGCCCTCCTCATGCTGTATCTGGCCATCATCGCCCGGCGATGCGGGAAGCAGCCAGAGCAGTACAGCTTAGCTTTTGCTGAGGTGTGACGTAACCCTCAAGCAGAGCCGGAAAAGTGCAATGGGTGAGGGAGGGAAGGGGAATGGAGGAGAAAAGATGGGGTGGGAGGGAGGAGGGAAACGCTGTTTTAGTTTCTTGATGGTCCAAAGGACGAATCTGAAGTGCAAAGAAAGGTGACTGTAGTATGGCCCAGGGCTGTTCTGCTTAGGGAAGGCAACACCAGCTCCAGCTCAGGGTGGTAGAGGAGACATGTTTTCAGGCTGCCTGGCTGCTATGTGGTGGAACAATTCCACTCCTGCCCCAGGATCCAGAGGGAACTCAGGAGTGTGTTAAATCAGTCAGTTCCAACCATAGCGGCTTCTGACAGGTACGTGAGCAAAGCCAGCTGCGGGAAGGGGTTCTCTTAGCCCATTTGAACACGACCAGAGGTGGAGGTAGAATTTGAGATCTGGGCCAGCTAGCAATGTCTCCCACCTCAATCTAGTTATCAATGCAATAAGATTGTGCCTGAGTTACAAGGCCCGGAAGCCTGATCTCTGGGCATCAGAAAACAGGGTACAGGAATGGTGCTTTATTATGTGTACCCCATTCCACATCTCCACATCCCAAGGATGAGCCAAACTAGCAGGGAGTTAGCATTGAACTGCTTTAAATATACATAGATGTGAATGTTAAAAAGGAAAACTTGACAGGAGGAACAAAGGTTGGTAGTGGTGCTCAAAGCAATGGGCTATATGGAGGTATATATATATATATATTCTACCTGGAAACTGCCTAGATCAGTGGTGGGCAAACCGTGGCTCACGAGCCACATGCGGCTCTTTGGCCCCCTTGAGTGTGGCTCGGCGTCAGAACCACTTCTTCAAAACAGACTCGCCCAGGCCGACAACCGACTTCTGCGCGTGGGCCACGAAATTTCAGTTGCACTGTACGTCGTATTTTGTGGAAGAGTCACACTCAAGGGGCCGCGTGTGGCTCGCAAGCCGCGGTTTGCCGACCACTGGCCTAGACATCTAGATGTGCTTGTCTGCTGAGGAGAGAAAATGTTTCAGTCATCTACCAGGGAGATTTAAACCCCAACATACTAAGAAAGGAAGTGAGGGCTCAGTATTTCAACCTGTGTACTCATGAAGTCCTCTTAAATTCAGCTGAGTCCCAAGATGGCCACCTCACTGATTTCCAGGTGATGTCGTTACCTCTTTGCCCTCCTCATTGGGCAAATTTCACAAGGTGGCAAGGGAGTCAGCACCTGGACTCTCACAGGCTCCTCTGTAACAGGCAAGCTTGCCCTCAGCACATGGGAAAACCTACTAGGAGCCTCTGACCAAATTGGCTGCCATCTTGGGACTGCTTGGGATGATTCCTTGGCAGGTGGGTAGCATGCATGACTTTCAAGCTACAATTCTTTTCTTTTTTAAAAATATATTTTTATTGATTTCAGAAAGGAAGGGAGAGGGAGAGATAGAAACATCAATGGTGAGAATCACTGATTGGCTGCCTCCTGCAGGCCCCCTCTGGGGATGGAGCCCACAACAAGGGCATGTGCCCTTGACCGGAATCGAACCTGGGACTCTTGAGTCCGCAGGCCGACGCTCTATCCACTGAGCCAAGCCAGCCAGGGCCAGGCTACAATTCTTGACAATCGTCTCTAATGGAAAGCTTTTCCGTGTCCACTAAGTGAACCCTCAAATCCAAGCTGGTCATCTCTGAGACTGTCCATTCTCCTCAGTGGCTTCTCCAGGGAATTCTTACAGACAAGCTGTGGATAGTGACGACTGCATTTGCTTCTTTCCAGAAACCAAACGAGGAGATGGAATTGATTCCTAAATCCTAAGGTTCTTGCTTTCTCATTTCATTTGAGGCAGCTTTATTTCCTTCTGCTTTTGGTGGGGAATGAGGGAAACCCATTTTCTAGAGATAGGCAGTCCACAGACTGTTCTCAGCTCTTGGGTTTGAAACCTGGATCTTGACCAAGCCTCTGACTTAGGGGTTGCTTGCTCATGTGTGCTGTCTCCAAACATCCTTTCTCAGAGGGTCCAACTAACCCTTCAGAATGAGCACTGAGGTAGAGGAGTGAAGGGGCAAGCCTGTAGCATACCTAGGTGCTTCCTACAAAGGAACAGTGTGCCGAGTCACAGATTGGCAAACCCTGGTGCTTTCCTTCAACTCCCACGAACTCAAGGGTTTTCCAAGTGCAGCCAACACGGCTGCATCACACAGACCTCAGGTTTCTGGTAAGACTGCTGGGTGCCGTTGGGCCCAGTCCATGAAGGCTCTCAGAAGAGGCAGCAGCCATTTGCCGAAGGCAGTTGTTCCCGACTCTTCCGTGTTTTTGCTGGCCAAGAAGTAAACTATTTTGAGCACCACAATGGAGGAAATCCGGTCAGCCAACTGCAGAGCTCAGACTTCACTAAGGGCTGTTTTTCTTCAGCTTTCACTCGAAGGGTAACATAGGATGGGCTCCCAGATGGAAAAACCATCAGGCTGTCCTACTATCAGCTCTGCCTTGCACTGTTATCGACTTTCCTCGTATCAAAAGTAGTGGGCTCACAACGTTTGACCTCGACTGGCTTTTCTAAGTTATTTTGTACGTTTTTCAGCAGTGAAACCAAACTGGGTCTTCAGCTTTATCCCTGTTTCTGGCAAGGGAAGAGCCTTTGTACAATTGGACACATTTTGGTTTTTCCTCATTGAAAATTTTAACTGTCTTTTTTGTATTATTTCTACAATAATTTGTAAACTATTTATTTTTACCTGCTTTTTTTAACTTTTCAGGTCAAATTTTTTATAATGCACATATTTGTCAAAATAAAGATTCTCTCATACTGCTGTCTCTGAGCTACTTCCTCCTTTGTTGTACTCAATGAACGCTGACTCGTTATTCCACTTTCAAAAGTTGCACTTGAGCTAGAAATAGTTTCAGTAATTTGAGTGTCACTCAGAAGCAGGATGAGCTGTCACAGCTGCCTCTGAACTTGGGGAATACCGTAAGCCTACCTTGATGATAACTGTACACCTATGGTGGCTTAACTTTATTGAAGAGGGTGGGGGGGGGGGTCCTTTGGTGAAATTACTGGCAGAGGAGTGAGCTAAAGCTAAAAATCAAGCTTGCTTCTTTCTTGACAAAGTGTTTTATCTGTCAGATAATACAGAACTGTGGCCAGGCTGAAACCATGAAAAGCAGTGGGATAACTTCCTTCCCTGTGGAACAGGTAACAAAACAGCGACACCAGAAACCCTCTCATCCCATTTATTAAACAGTAAGAAAAGATACAACGCCGGAAAAACACCAACCATCCTTTCACATCAGGTTGAACAAAGCACAGTGATTTCTTCCCTTCGACCCCCCCCCCCCTCCCACCCTCCTCCCCCTATCCCATCCACATCAGCTTAAATTTTGAGGTTCTTTGATTGGGAGTACCAGTGGAGAGGGAGTTGGATGAACTGTGGAGCCTTGATTCTGGCCTTCTCTAGGTCCCAGAGAAGGAAACTCCAAGACCTGCCAGTCAAGTGGAAATTGTACTTGGTGGGTCTTGAACGCGGCTGCCCACCTACCTCCCCGTTCTGTGTCAGGCCCCCAGGGAAAGGTATGGCAGTGGAGGACAGGTCCAAGCTGCCCGGGTCAGAGCTGCTGAAGCATGGTCCGTTCACCAATGCAACATTGCTAGAGCAGTGAGCTGAGTCTCCAGTGGTGAGCAGGGAACTACATATGAATTGGGACCTGCAGGTCAATGTATCCCTGAGGAAAAGTCCACAAGAACAATTCAAGAAACTAGCAAGAAACAAGGGGCGGAAAGCTGTGGGACAAAAGCACAGCAGGATTCTGGAAGGCTAGAGATCCTTTCTCTCAAGGCTGGGATCATTCCCACCTGCCATAGTCCATGTCCCACAAATAACATTTCACCTTTAATCAAGAAAGAAGCAGAGTTTGAAAAAAGATGACTCATTTGAACTTGAGCCCAGCTATATACTTCCGACTGTAGCTCCATGACTACCCTTTTACCTAAAACGGCATCTGCCCAGAACCACGATGCCTGGAGACCCAGGTGGTCCTAGAGAGAAAACGGTTTAAGGGGGTAACATTCCATTTGGGTACATTGCAGCCATTGGACCCCCTGGTCTGGGGAAAGCAGCTGCGTTTGTGCCAGGGAGACTACCCACTCTAGGAAATGGGACCACAGTCTTCATTATAGGACCATTCATCCTTGGAAAGGAAGCTGGGTTCAGACCCAGATTCCCAGTTGGCCTTGCAAAAGGAGCTGGGTTGACACCCCCAGAGCCTGCTGCAGAAGAGCCCAGAGGCCCAGAAGCTGACCTGGGGAAAGGAACTTGACCAGGGCCTAGTGGGCCAGTAGACCTTGGGAAGGTAGCTGGATTTGGACCCAAGCCAGGGGCTCTTGGGAAATTAGCTGGGTTGGGTCCTAGTGGCCCAGAGGCTCTTGGGAAAATTGCTGGGTTTGAACCCTGGAAGCCAGCAGACCTCTGAAAGTTAGATGGGTTTGAAGCCAATGTTCCAGAAGACTGAGAGAAGGCAGCGGAGTTGAGTGCCCCCGAACCTGTCCCCCTTGGAAAGGGATTAGCATTTACCCCCATGGGGCCAGCCGGCCTTGAAAAATTAGCTGAATTAGGGCCCATGGGGCCAGGAGCCCTCGACATGGGAGATGCATTTGGCCCTGAAAGGCCAATTCCCCGAGAGCCAGGACCCAAGTTTGGGCCTATGGAGCCAGGTACTCTTGCCATGGAAGATGGGTTTGTGCCCATGTTTCCAGAAGCCTGTGAGAAAGAGGATGAATTTGCTCCTAAAAGACCTGCTGCTCTTAGAATGGGGGCAAGATCTAGGTTTTGAGGTCCAGCCATTCTTAAGTTTAGACCAGATCCTGTGCCCAAGAGGCCACCTGCTCTGGTGTCCATGTTAGGGCTTGGGCCCAGGCCACCAGCCCTTGGGTTGGGCCCAAGGCCTGGGTCTAGACCACTTGCTCTTGGGTTGGGCCCAAGGCCAGAGCCTGGAAACATACCCGACCTTGGGGCAGGGTTTGTACTCATGAAGCCCGATCTCAGATTGGGACTTGGTCCAGGGCCCAGGCCAATGGGCCTACTATTGGAAGGGCCATTCCCAGGAGTCAAGAGGCCACCCGTTCTCAGATTGGGCCCAGATCCAGGGCCCATTGGGCCCCCACTTCTGGAGTCAGGTCCTGTTCCCAGGAGACCACCTGCCCTTGAGTTGGACATAGGACCTGGCCCTGGGAGACCCCCTAACCTCGGGTTAGACATAGGCCCCGGGCCCGGAAGAGCCCCTCCTCTAGCGTTTAGAGCTGGCCCTGGCCCTGGGCCCAAGAGGCCGCCTGGCCTCGAGAAAGGAACTGAGCCTGCGGCAGAGGGATTCATCCCCCTGGGAAAAGCAGCCATGCTTGAGTCACGAGCACCGCCATGGAAAGGTGCTGGATTTGAAGCCAACGAGCCTGATGAAGCTGGAAAAGAAGAAGGGTTCCTTGGAAACGGGCCCAGATTTCCACCAAGAGAACCAGTGGCCCTAAGGAAGGAATCTGAGGCCATGCCCAGGGGGTGGCGAGTGTTTAGACCCTGCCCCCCCTGTGGTCCCAGGGAACTGTCCAGCCGTCCTCGAGGTGGCAGTGAAGCACGAGTCCAAGGCGTTGGCCGCTCTCTAGGGAAAATCCGGGGTTCTTTCATACTTTCTTGGGTACGTTGGTGATAATGGGCTTGGGTCGAGTTTTGAAAAGAATCTTGTTTTTGATGAGTGCTGTCACCAAGTATTGGGTGCCAGTCTTACAGCCACGCTCATCACAGTCCTGCTCCGTAGAAGTGTGTTTGACTAGGACAGCAAAAGGTTTCTCCAGGTGGATGATTTTCCCGTACAGGATGTGATGCCCCACGATCAGCACAGGAATTCCCTTTGGCAGAATAAGAATAAGATGCCTGAGATTTAGAGCAAGATCTTAACACTCGAGTGCTTCCTAAAGATGCTCTTGGCAGGCAGTAGTGGTACCTGCACTCCCTGGTTTGGCTATTACACTGCTATATAGCTACAGTGGACAACCCACCCTCCTCATGCCCTTTATGGCCCTGGTAAGAGAACTTTCACTTTTAGAACTGTGACCTTTTGCCTGGCCAGTGTGGCTCAGTGGTTGAGCACAACCTATGAACCAGAAGGTCAGTTTGATGCCTAGTTGTGGACTTGATTCCAATAGAGGGCTTGCAGGAGGCAGTCGATCAATGATTCTCTCATCATTGATGTTCCTATCTCTCTCTCTCTCCCTTTCTTTCTCCCTCTCCCTTCCTCTCTCCAGAAAAAAGGAAAAAAAAAAAAAAGAACTGTGACCTTTCAAGAGTTCCCAAAGCTAAAGGGGGAGAACAAGCAGGTAGTTTAGCAGATTAGCTAGCCCTTGTTAACAGACCTGAGGGCAGTCCTCACCCTAGGTCCTGGGAGCGCCACCTCGGTAGCTTGCTTTCCTGAGGCGTTAGGCAAGGAAAGAAAAGCCCTCACCTCAGTGGTGTAATGTAGGTCTCCCAGGTGGTTTCCAGCTAATCCGGTGCTGTAGCGAGCCTCGATCTCCCCCTGTAGCTCCATCAGCACCCATTCTGCCAGGCCTCCAGCCCCAGCACTGCAAGCAAAGGCTGGCGGTTACAATATTTTTGAGGGGGTAAAGGATGAATGGTATCCTATACCACCAATCAAGGCCCAAAGGAACTCTTTGTTGAGCACAAGTTCTTGGGAAACTAGGCAGTGCTAAGCACCGAACTAGAGATCGAAATGCAAGCATCTGTACAAGATGCACCCGAGGACCCTGATTCTTGCAAGGGAATATCAAATCTATATAGCCCTAAGCATTCAAACTACATAAAAAGTCTCAAAATGTACTCACCTTGAGACAATAATTTGTACCATGAGCCTTCCGTCTTTATAAAGTCACTGAAAATAAGCTGTAGAAGGAAAAAACAAGATTTAGGATAATAATAATGACAGCTAATGTTTACCACTTATTGTGTACTAAGCATTTTGTGCTTTAGATACATTTTATCTCCTTCCTCTAACAAGTCCATAAGGTGTAAACTTTCAAAAAACTGATGTACATCTAAACTGCTTAAAATCACCAAGGGTCGCCCTAGCCTGTTCGGCTCTGTGGACAGTGTTGGCCTGCAGACTGAGGGTTCCAAGTTTGATTCAGGTAAAAGGCACATACCTTGGTTGCAGGCTCTTCCCCTACCCGGTCCCTGGTTGGGTTCATGCTACAGGCAACCAATCGTGTCTCTCTCACATCAAAATTTGTCTTTTCCTCTCTCTTCAACTCTAATTCAATGGGAAAATATCCTCGGGTGAGGATTAAGAAAAAAAGAAATCACCAAGGGTTAACTACAGTATGAACAGTTTAAAGATAGCACAATTGGGTTGCAGGTCGCATAGCTATTAGTCAAAGAACAAAAATTTGAACCCAAGCCATATACTGCATAGTCCACACTCTTCACCACTATGCTAATAACTTATCTTTCTCAAGGATGTTTTAAAAAAACAAAAAACTACATCTTTTAGATTTCAATTTTATATATATTATTGATTTTTTATGAGGGGAAGAGAGAGGGATAGAGAGCTAGAAACATCGATGAGAATCATCAATCAGCCGCCTCCTGCACACCCCCTACTGGGGACATGCCCACAACCAAGGTACATGCCCTTGACCGTAATCAAACCTGGGACCCTTCAGTCCACAGGCGGATGCTCTATCCACTGAGCCAAACTGGTTTTGGCTAGATTTCACTTTTTCTCCTAGGTGATATGAACTTTGTGTCTACCACTTTGGTTATCTGACACTTCAAGGTTCAAAGGACCCCCTTTAAATAAAAGCCTTGAGAACTTAGAAATCCTTCAGACTTTAGTGAATGGTAAGCTGACTTCTGATATGAGATTCAAATGCTTTGACCATCTTTTACTTCGATACTGAAATACTGACGATTCTCATTTTATACAATATCGCCACCTGGTGGCAGGTTTGTGGTACTCCGTAAGAATTGGTTAAAAGAGGCCATTTTGGCCTGCACTGGTCTTTCTGGGAAGGACAGGCGCATGGGGGATTGAGCGCACGGGGGACCTAAACTACAGATTCTGTGTAAGTCTTTCCAATGAGTAGATGGAGCCTAGTGGAAGGTTATTAGTCCAGTGTTTACCGAGTTCAGCAAGTTAACAGGTATTATAATTGTGCTCAAGCTCAGCAATTAACACAGGCTTCTTTACTGATTTGTTCATTTTCATTTTGGATATCCAGGAAAAAGTATATTGCCAGCACAGACTCAACAGGTAGCATCATCTCTATTCTTGAGCACCAAACATACTTTGGGAATAGTGATTGGTTGAATCACTGGACTTAAAATTCAAATATAAATGGCAGCTAGTATTTATTGAATTTTTACAATGAATCAGATGCTGTGCACATACATGGGGGGTATCTCAAACACTGTGACCACTCTGATACTTTTCCCTATTTTGTAGATAAAGCTACTGAGAGATGCACTGGCTTGTATGTGGCGCGCACACAGCTAGTATGAGGTAGAGCCAGCTAAGGACCTAGGCCATTTGACTTTATCTACACTCATTATGATTGCCCAATTCTTTCCTTCCCAAAGGAGAAAACCAAGTGCCAGTGAGAATGAAAAGGCATCAAGGCATCAGGGAGGCACTGTATATACCCAACAACTTGTCAGAAGAGCAACTGGGAATCAAGGCATCCTTGAATGAGTGAGACCTCCTGCAGCAGCACTGGCTGCAGGGCCACCTAAAAACAGGTAATACTCTAGCTCAGGAAGGCAACAGGGCTGCAGAAAAAGTAGGCCCTGATTAAAAGAACCACCAAAAGCACTTTAAAAACCCTTCCCAAGTTTCCCGAAGGAGGATAAGAATTTAAAATCCAAACCCAAAAGGTCTGACTAGAATCAGAACAATCTGGGTGGGGCACACCTTCTCATTGGGTGGCCATATCTATTTTGAAGTTAATTACTATTAAAATTATATTCAAGTGCCACCACAATTTCTAAGAGAAAAGTCCAGTCAGAGTATTGTTTACAATACAAGAAGCTTCATTTCTCACATAGCTAAACTTTTCAGAATACTTAATCTGGATTCTTTTGGTTCCAAAGTGAGAACAATCCCATGATGTAGGCACTGTTTTACCACTCCCATTTTACAGATGAGGAAAACAGGCTTAACGAAGCTTTAAGTAACAGGTCACAAAGTTGTAGAGCTGGAATGTGAACTTGAACGTCTCCACAACATGGTCTCTCTTGCAGTCCTCTCCTGTAGTCTATCTGTATTGTGAAATTTTAAAATTCTACCTTATCATCTTAAAATATCCTATCACCTGAATACTATTTCTTTACTTGCAACAGTTGCCCTTAGGTACACAGCATGTCTGTAAAACTGATTGTTTTACAATACTAGCCCTTCTCATAGGATCACTTACAAAATGGCAAGTAACCTATGCAGATCTTACCACTTGCCACCAAAGTTGCTAATACATCTGTAGGGCAGGCAATTAAAAAAGAACAGCAAGCCTGCTTATTATTATATCTTAATTGATTATAGAGGGCATTCTTTTACATCAAAACTCATTTTTATTTCTGACAAAATTATCTTCTGGATTGTTAAAAGATTACTGTCTTATAGAGAACAGCATGAGCAATGATCTTCATAATGGTAACTGCCCCCTCCCCCCCAATTTTTTTTTTTGGCAGAATAAAGTATGGAATGTACTTAATTCACCAGTCCAGCTTTTACTGAAAGGGGCCTGGACTCAATGGTTTAACTGCAAATTATTGTTTCCCTAGAGCAAAATAATGTTTTATAAATTATTTTCATTAGAACCTTTTAATTCTTGTATTTTAAGCTTTTAAAGAAAAAAAGTGAGAGGTAACTTTAACTTCTGCTAGGCCAACAGCATTTATTGTGCTCTTATTTGGTCCCAGAGACTATTCTGTTGGGGGATACAGGGAGAAAAGTCATCAGATCTGGACTCTGATTATGCCATTTATTCCATGTGTGATGGGAGTCATTTAATCTCATTTCAGTTCCCCACCAATCAATTAGGCATAAAAAAGAAGTTATTGCAGAGTTGAGAGTTAAATGAGGTTATGAATGTAAAATCCTCAGCACAGTGCCTAAGACAACCTATAGCATCAAGCTATTGATTACCTGGCTTTTTCTTAGTAAGAATGTCTTATTACACTGTATAATTATTATGCCAATGTTTATAGTGGTGTAAAACACTCCCCAGAAGCATCAGGTCATCAGTACAAAATCTGTTTCATATAATGGGAGAACAATTCAAAGGTGGTAGTCAGGGTTCACCAAACTGCTCCAGGGTTTAAGTTCTGGAAGGTTCTTCCCTCTCTAAGAATGAGGACTATTTTTCTATGTGCCTTTCCACCAAATGAACAATTCAGTAGTTTGATAGACCAATGAATACAGATTTTTATTAGCAGTGTCATTGTGGTTTTGTGACTGAAGGGGATGGTCTAAAGGGGATCTCGGCTGTGGAAAGCCTTATACCATCAAGTCCTAAAATCCCGTTTCTGCATGAGCTTGTTCCCTTTCCAAAAAAGGCATGTTATGGAGTGTAAGTGGAACTGAATGCTTCCAAACTTTTCTTTAGCGAAGACTGTGTTCAAAAACGTGTGTGGGTACTATGTACAGACGTGGTACTTTCCCATCACATTTTAGGATTCCCAGGATGGAGGGAATCAATTACTGGAATTTTGTAGATAATGAGTGGAAAAAAAGATGACTTCAGTCGATCTGAGTTAATCCAGTTTTCTCCATCTTCTGCTACTCTGCGGCCCCCCCTCAACCTTCCCCAAAGCCCCTTCCTTTTTCTAGCCCTGCTCGAGGTCTCCCTGCTATGGTGGACTCTCCTCCCACCGCCTCCCATCTTCTCCACCTTCTACCCCTCCCTTCCCTCCCCATCCCTGCAATGAGGGCCACAAGCACTTCCTACGTCTGGCCCCGCCCCCTTTCTGGGACTACTCAATCCGCTTCCCCTCTCCTCACCAGGCCCCTCCAAATGCCCCCCCCCCCTTTGCTGGGACCTCTTACCTAGCTGTTTAACCCTTTCTCCAACCTCCCAGGTAATGGATTCTTTACTGCCTTACCCCCCCCCCCCGCCAGCCCACCCCCCAAGAGTGACCTTCCAAACCGGTTACCCTCCTCCAAGGATTCCTCTTCAACGTCTCCTAACCCCCTCCCCCATCAAATCGTTCCCTGTTCCCCCCACCCCCTAAATTCTAAAATACTCCGTTCTATCCTCCGGGACCTCACCCCACTCTCCCCCCTTTCTCTCCGCCCACAAAAGGGCCTGGATGGGATCCCTTTCCTGACTGTTCCTTCCTTCCACCACCCTCCAAAAATCACCTCCCCCAGCAGCCTCCCCGCCCCGATGGGAAATGTCCCTTCCATCAAACCTCACGGCCCTCCAATCCGCCCCCCTCCCTCCAATCCCCATTCCGATATTCCCGCTCTCTCTAGGGTTCCAGGGCTGCCCCGCTCCCGCAGGCCTCCCGCGCCGGGCCCCCTCCCCCCGGGAAGGGCCCCGTTTCGCACGTACCTCGAGAATCGGGCCCGCGCCGCCCCCTGCTCCGTCCTCCTCCGCCCGCGCTCGGCCACCCTTTCCGCCCTCCTCCGCTGCGCTCCGCCCCGCTCGCTCCCTCCCTTCCCTCCTCCCTCCGCCTCCCGCCTCCCCGCCGCTTCACCCCCCCACCCCTACCCCCCCACCCCTCCACCCCAGTTCCCGGCCTTCCTGGTCCCGGAGCCCCCCGTTCCGTCCCCGCCGCTCCTGCGCGGCCCTCCCCGCTCCCTGCTCCCCGCTCCCTGCTCCCGGCCCGACCTCCCCTCCCCCGCCCGCCCGCCCGCCATTCTTCTCCGGGAGCTGCGCGCCCCGCCCGGCCCCGGCTCTCCTAGCTTCCCGCCCCGTCGCCCCCTCGCCCCATCCCCGGCTCGGCCCTCGCTCCCCGCCGCCTCCCGCGCCCCCCTGCCCGCGGCCTGACCTGCAATGGCGGCCGCCGAGCGCGGCGCCGCGCGGCCAACGGGCGACAACCGAACCTCCCGCCGCCGCCGCCGCCGCCGCGAGCACTGCCTGCGCACTTCCGGCCTCGCGCCGCGAGCACTTCCGGGGCAGGGCGCGCGGGGGCGCGCACGTGGGGGCCGGGGCGGAGGGAAGCGGGCGCCCGGCGGCGGGTGAGTTGGAGAAGGAGGGGAGGGAAGCGGCTGGGAGGGAGAAGGCGGCTCGGGGGCTGCGGCCGGCGTGAGGCCGAAGCCCCGTGGAGCTCCCCCGTTCCCGGGTGTCCAGGGCGGGTGGGTGGGTGGGGGCTGCTTCGTAGGCCCCCGGAAGATGGAAGAGGCGGGGGAGACCTCGTGCGCGCTTCAGACTCCCTCTTAGCTGGGCCGGGCCGGGCCGGGCCCACCCCCCCCCCTTCCTGCTCTCGGGTTCCGAACCTTGAAGGGAAATGAGTGAGGGGTCCACCAGGCCCTGCCCCTGCCCTTTCCGAGGGCGTTAAGTTGGCCGTAGCGGGAGGTGGGGTTGGAGGGGGAGTTGACAGATGGCCACACCAGGTCCTGTCGCTTCCAACAAGGAACAGGGGCTCGGGGTCCTGCCTGCCCCATCAGTCCCACCTTCAAGTCTGATGTGACACTTTGGCATGCTGTAGAGCTAGGAAGAAGCGCTTGCTAAAATGCAGATTCCTAGGGTCTGCCCTCCACCCCCAGAAACTGGAATTCTGGAGCTGTGGAATAAAAGACCCAGAATCTGGCATTTTTGAGAACCCATTTATTTAAGTGATTTTGATGCAGGAGTTCTGCAGACCTGACACTTTTGAGAGAGACTGACTTAGGCTCTCAGCCTGCCTCTGTAGAGGGTGGTGGTGCTGACTCCACATTCCCAGCATTTCACAGGTGTTCGTACCCTCAGAGAAGCCTCACACCCCAACTGGAAAGAAGGACCTTAATTCTTTCTCCCTCGAATGCAACTGGTCAGCTCCAGGCGTCTCTCTTGGTTCAAGGGTACGCTCCCATTGCAGAATGATATTATGTTCTGTCTTTTGCTCCAAGATCACATTTTAGATTCTCACCCTTCTTTTCCATCCTTCCTCCAGGCAGTTTGTCAGGATTGTTAGAGAAGTCTGGGTGATGTTCCATATGTTGATCTTTTAATATTTTTGCAAAAGAATCTTGAGCTCCTGGAGATGGTTTGATAGATTCTTGTATGGGGCATGAAAATATCACTGGTTGGAAAAGTAGAAGTGAACTTCAGTGAGAGAGAGTTGGAGTCTCCCATCCAGAGCAGTAATGATAAGGGACGATACTGCAGTTAACATTTTACAAAAATGACTTTTTCCCTCTCTCCTCCCTTAGGAATGGGTGAATTTAAAGTCCATCGAGTTCGCTTCTTTAATTATGTTCCATCAGGGATCCGCTGTGTGGCTTACAATAACCAGTCAAACAGACTGGCTGTTTCAAGAACAGATGGCACTGTGGAAATATATAACTTGTCAGCAAACTACTTTCAGGAGAAAGTAAGTCATTTGGAAGCCTGATTTGGTGTTTCTGGTGTTAATTTTCTTCTTAAGTTAGGTTCTACAAAAACCTGTATGTCTTTTGTAGTCAGAGATCAAAAGTAGTGACTGTACCCTCTCTGGAATTGTTTTGAACTATGTAACTTCCGTAGCATGCAATTTCTTCTCTGACTGATGAGAGAAGCTCCAGGCTTTGATGTGTGAGATCAGTTAGAAAGAGCCTCCCTAGGAATCGTGGCAGCTCACTGACCTCTGGAAACTGAGGTTTGCTCGTTCTTTTGGGCACATGAAGGAAGATTGTCGAGACCATTGCTTTATATCAGTCTCCACACTGTCGCAGCTGTAGTAAGGTGGCATTTCCTGCTGGCGGTGTCAATACCAGTTTCAGAAAAAAATCACGAAACATTTTAATATCAGAAACTTCGGTGATGTGATAGCAGGAAGTAGATTTCTGAGTGGGTCTGTCAGAGAATATAGACTCACATCCCTATATTTGGGAGTAAAGGAGATTTTAAATTAGGTAAAATTCCAGTTGGATGTATGCACATGTGTCAAACACAAGGCCCGCGGGCCAAATCCGTCCCGCCAGGCCTTGCAATGTGGCCCGCACCGCGCTGTCATCACTGCACTCCGCTGCGTTTCCATCACAATGACAGTTTATGACTGTTCAGTAAACCATTCGGCCCTCGATTTAGGCTGGATTTTAGATTTTGGCCCCTTCTCTGATTGAGTTTGACACCCCTAATCTAGAGGGATGTGACAGCAGCATTTTTTTTTCCCAAAGGCACTGATTACTGATTTCAGGTGCAACATATAATTCCATTCACATGTATGAAGTGTCTTACATACCTGGGCATCATGAGGTAAGTGGATAGATAGGTAAATGAGTAAGTTTAGTGCCCAGCAGCCTAGTACTTGAAATGTAAGCACTGTAAACGTTTCTAAATGAATGAGTGGCAAATATTAGGCACTAAAACAAATGTCAGATGACCTACACTCAGGGAGTTCAAAGGCCGGTTAAATTTTATATAAAACTAAGTACAGGCATAGAATCTTAGTAGAGAGATAACTTACTCTGATGAGGTGGATTTAGGAATCTTGGAAAAGAATGACTGAAGAACTAATAGGAGTTAAAAAAATTACTGGTCACCACAACTGGGTTTTAGTGTGAACGAGCATGCTGTGGTACATGCTTGTTGTATCCTCTGTTTTTCTTGTCCTTTATGACAGCTGCGATTATATAATAATATGTATATTTGTTTAATGTCTTCTCCACTGAACTTCAAGTTTTATGAAAGCAGGGACCACGTCAGTGATGTTCATGACTATATTTCCAGCATTTAGCAAGTGTCCAGGATAAAGCCACTGCTGAATTAATACTTACTGAATGAATTACATCAACCATTTGTTACTTGTGTCTCTTATTCTCTCGTCTGTGTTTTCAACAATTAAGTAATTCAATTTAGTCTTCTGCTTTCTTTCCCTACTATTTAAGGTTGCTTAGTTTTGTTAGTTTCTCTCAGAACAAGAAAAAATGGTCTCTCTCAGAGTGAAAAGAATAGGGATTAGGGATAGGGAGACCAACATTCTCTTCCTGTCATTGACTGACACTTTGGGAAGCCACTTCACCCGGAACAACTTTGGCCTTTTCAAATTCCGTAAGGAAAAATTATACTTACCCAGTCTCTTTTGTGTCAAGCAAATAAAAGAATAAAATGCCTTAATATGAAACTTTGTTGTCCCACTTATTTATGCATTCATTGGTTGCTTTTTAAAAATATATATGTTTTGCCCTAACTGGTTTGGCTCAGTGGAAAGAGCATCGGCTTGTGGACTGAAGGGTCCCAGGTTTGATTCCAGTCAAGGGCATGTACCTAGGTTGCAGGCACATCCCCAATAGGGGGTGTGTAGGAGGCAGCTGATTGGTGTCTCGTCCTCATCGATGTCTCTAACTCTCTCTCCCTCTCCTTTCCTCTCTGTAAAAAATTAATAAAATATATTTTAAAATAATAATAAAAATAAAAAATATATATATACTTTTTAATTTGAGAGAGAGAGAGGAAGGTAGAGGGCTAGAGAGAGAAAAATGTCCATGTGAAAGTGAAACATTGATTGGCTGCCTGCTGCATGCCCCTTACTGGGGATCGAGTCTGCAAATCGACCTCTTGGTTCATGGATCAGTGCTCAATCACTGAGCCACACTGGCAGGGCTGGTTGCTTCTTGTGTGTATCCTGACCTGGGATTGAACCCACAACCTTGGTGTATCTGGACAATGCTCTGAGTTACCTATCTAGGGCTAGGGAACTATTTTCTTTTTTTAAATATACGTTGATTGACTTCAGAGAGAAAGGGAGAGGGGAAGAGAGAAACATCAATGAGAGAGAATCATTGATCGGCTGCCTCCTGCACATCCCCCACTGGGGATCAAGCCCAAAACCCAGGCATGTGCCCTTGACCAAAATCAAACCTGGGACCCTTCAGTCCGCAGTCTTACACTCTATCCACTGAGCCGAACTAGCAAGGGCTTATTTTTTACCATGTTGCCTGTGACCACTCAGTGCTGGTCGATGAGGAATTCACGATGGGTTGTTGAAGTTCTGGTGTTTCTGTAGTTTTTCCCAGGTCATGAGTCTCGAGCTACAGAAGCTTTGTGTTGGGCAAAAGGACAGCGACTCTTTAGTGCTGGACTCAACGGAGAGATTATCGAGTATGATTTGCAGGCCTTAGACATCAAGTATTCTATGGATGCCTTTGGAGGACCCATTTGGAGTATGGCTGCCAGCCCCAGTGGCTCTCAACTTCTGGTCAGTACGCAACTATTGGTTACGTAAACCAAGATTCCTCTTGTGCCCACTTAAAACTTCTTTCCTGTGCTCATAGGAAGGTAGATTAAAGTTATGTTACGCTATTTAGCAATTCCGATCCGAGTTAGATTTCAGCAATCCCAGTGTAAGATTGTAGTTGAGATTGGGGATTAACAATCCCTTGTCCTTTTGCATCCTTTCTATTTTTACTTTTGACCTCGTTTGTTCATTTATGAAATGAGAGGGTTAGTTTGGTTTTCCCAAACTTTGTTCTTTTGGAATTGGGAGCCGTAGAGACTTGTTTTGTTGTGTTTTACAATGAATTTCATTTCAGAATATAGCATATTAAATCCTTTTGTAGAGTCACAGTGCACTGATGCATATTAAAAATTCCTAGGTCCTTCCGCCAGTTAACTTGTGCAACTGAGTTTCACCACAGTGTTTCTCAAAATTATTTGAGCACAGACTGAGAAGACGGCTCCCCCAACCATTAACATTAGAATGGCTGCTTTCATAGGTTGACTGTTCTCTTCTGGTTTGCACTAATTTGTACAATATCTTGATAAGTCTCTGTTTAGATTATACACTGAATGGCCAGATTATTATGATCTCTGAATGCATAATAATCTGGCCACTCATTGTATATCCTATATTATCCTATATAATAAAAGGCTTCTTATCCCCTCCACCAGGAGTTTGACCAGCGAGCAGGCCAGCCAACCGCCTATGTCCCCTCCCCCTGGCCAGGCTGGCCAGACCCCACCCATGCACGAATTAATGCACTGGGCCTCTAACACACACACACACACACACACACACACACACACACATACATATAGACAGAGTGACGAGATTATTATGCGTTCAGAGATCATAATAATCTGGCCACTCAGAGTATAGTTATTAGGTCTTTCATTTAGTCCATGGGTCTCTAGCAGAAATGCCCTGTGAAATCCTATTTCTATTCTATGTCCAGTGCAGGAATTGGGCCACTATTTAGCCTGCTTTCTTGTCAGGATATAAAGGCTACCAAGAATACACAACTAGTTTCTTGGTTCCAATACTTTTTTCTCTTACTAATTATTTTTCAGAGCAAGTGATCACTTTAGGGAAGAAATGTATATATTTGTAAGTAAATAAGTTGAGTTAAAAATGTAAAATGCTTATCTTATCTATTTCCTACCTCCTCTCCCCTAATAGGTTGGTTGTGAAGATGGATCTGTAAAACTATTTCAAATCAACCCAGACAAAATCCAGTTTGAAAGAAATTTTGATCGGCAGAAAAGTAAGGGTCATTTCTGGTGGGGCTGTGAATAGCCTTAGCAAATAGTTACGTGTATGTGCCACTAGGGATGGGATATTCCCCCAGGGGTCCAGGTAATATTTTAACTACTAGAGGCCTGATGCGCAAAATTTGTGCAAGAGTAGGCCTTCCTTCCCCCAGCAGCTGGCACCCGGGACCTGGGCTTCCCTTCCAGCGCCAGCTTCATCCAAAAGGTCACCTGGAAATATGTCCAGTCTAATTAGCATATTATACTTTTATTATTACAGGCTAGAGGCCTGGTGCACAAAAGTTGTGCACTTGGAGGTGAGGGTCCCCTTATCCTAGCCTGTGTCGTCTTGCAGTCCAGGAGCCCTCAGGGATGTCCAGTTGTCTGATATCCTTAGCACTTAGAGGCTCCCACCACCACAGCTGCAAACTGTTTTTGTAAGGACACAAAGTAGTAAATATTTTAAGCTATATAAGTCAGACCATCTCTGCCGACTCTGTCGTGGCACAAAAATAGCCATAGATAATACTTAGACAAATGGGCATGCTCCCGTAAAACTTTACTTTCAGAGAAAGGGCGTGGGCCGCATTTGGCCTTAAGGCCATGGTTTGCTAACTCCCCTTCTAGCAAATAATAACTGTCTCATGTGTCCTTTGTGTCCATTATGAATGGTTATTCTCTGCTACACAGATTCATATTTTGGTTGTTTTTAATACCTTTGGGTGTTCTTTTTAAAAATTTCATATGTTTAGCCAAGAATAAAAGAGAAAATAAATATCTCATTCCCCTATGTAGACAACATTTTGAGATTAATCTTCTAGACTTTTTAGAATATTCATATAAACAAATACACAAGGGTGCCTGAACCTGTTTTCAACTTTGTTCTCACTTTTTACATCACAGACATCTGTCTGTCATGCTAGTCTGCATGGTGTTGCATTTTCCGGTGTTCCATAGTTCATTTAGTCAAACTCCAATTGATGGATAGTAATTATTTCTTTACTACTACAACCAGTGGTGCAGTGAATATTTTTATATACATGTTTTTGGGCACTCATGCAAGTATTACTCTTCGATTAATTCCCCGTGCAATTACTGGGCCAAACATGCACATTTACATTTTGTTAGGCTACTACCAGATCTACTACTAAAGGTTGTGCTTCTTTATACTCCCATCCACCATTTATACATTATTAGAGTTAGTACCAAATACTTCATTATGGATCCCAGGGCAAAGTTGTTCCTCATCTATTATAAACCAGTTCTTCACAAGAGTGCAGTAATAGTGGGAGCTAAAACTAGAGAACAGTAGCCCCATAGATAATTGTAGAGGGAGAACTCAGTTACCTTTTGCTGTGTATTTATGTGTATGTCCATTTTTTTATTGTTCAACTCCCAAGGTCGCATCCTGAGTCTCAGCTGGCATCCCTCTGGCACCCACATTGCAGCTGGCTCCATAGACTACATTAGTGTGTTTGACATCAAATCAGGTGACTGTTTTTCTCAATTTATTTGGGATCTGGGTCTTGTTAGATTCACATTTCTGACAAACTGGAGTTCTTGTTATGTTGTAACGATGTTTAGCCCTAACCTCGTTAATCTTCTGGAATGTTCACCATGAATTTCAGTCCTTTCTTGGATTACTAATCCTGCTTTGGGAGGAATCTTGGTTCTTCTATGGAATCCAGTATTATTTATTTATTGATTTCAGAGAGGAAGGGAGGATAGAGAGATAGAAACATCAATTATGAGAGAGAATCATTCATTGGCTGCCTCCCGCATGCCCCCTACTGATGATGTAGCCCACAACCTATGCATATGTACTTATATGATTCTCTCTCATAATTGATGTTTCTATCTCTATCCTCCCTTCCTCTCTGAAATCAATAAATAAATGCCATGCAGTTATCAGTGCCATATGCCAATGATATAACTAGGCATGTGCCCTTGGCTGGAATCGAACCTGGAACCCTTCAGTCCATAGGCTGAAGCTCTGTCCACTGAGCCAAACCAGCTAGGGCTATTTACCAAATTCGCCACTGTTTGTGTGTGAGAGAGAGTTAGAGGCCCAGTGTATGAATTTGTGCATAGGTGGGGTCTGGTCAGCCTGGCCAGGGGGAGGGGACATGGGCAGTTGGCCAGCCTGCCTGCTGGTCAAACTCCTGGTCGAGGGGACAATTTGCATAGTAGCCTTTTATTATATAGGATAATACAGGATATACACTGAGTGGCCAGATTATTATGCATTCAGAGATCATAATAACCTGGTCATTCAGTGTAAATCTAAACAGAGACTTATCAAGATATTGTACAGATTAGTGCAAACCAGAAGAGAACAGTGGTCTTATCACAAAAGTTCAACCTCTGAAAGCACCCATTCTAATGTTAATGGTTGGAGGAGCTGTCTTCTCAGTCTGTGCTCAAACAATTTTGAGAAAAGAGCAAAGTGTAATGGTTATGTGCAAGTGGCTAGTTTTAAGCAAAGTCTCTTCCATTCCACCTCCGCCCTCCAGCAAATTTCTGTCCCTTCCCTGTCACCACATCCATCTCTCCTCTTTAGGCAACCATTTTGGTGTTCAGAGACTGAGTTCACTGTAAGTAGTGTAATAGTATATTGGATGTGGTCTGTGTTCAGGTAGCTAACTTAATGTATGTGTACCACATCATTCAAATGTGGACTTTTCTTATTTTTCAGGAAGCGCTGTTCATAAGATGCTGGTGGATAGGCAGTACATGGGTGTGTCTAAGCGGAAGTGTATCATATGGGGTGTGGCCTTCCTGTCGGATGGCACTGTCATCAGTGTGGACTCTGCTGGAAAGGTGCAGTTCTGGGACTCGGCTACTGGGACGCTTGTGAAGACCCATCTCGTTGCAAACGCTGACGTGCAGTCCATTGCTGTCTCAGATGTGAGTGTGGCTCCTGTTTTGAGCAGTTCCGGTACAGCCCGGGCGATGAGTAGACAAGGCCCTGGCAGTGTTGCACCACAAACACTGTTCCCTGGCTCTGAACGTTGCACTGGAGGAAGATGAGTTTAGGAAAATCTATCTGGAGAGTCACATAATTTCCCTGAGCTCTTTTACCCTCTTAGCTGGAGAATATTCTCTGAAAGATTGGTTAGCTGCAGAAAGGATTTCTTCAGGCACTCCCACCCCTAGTTCATCATGTCTGATTGCAGAGAGAGCACAGTGTGCGCAAAGAGTCAATAGAAGCAATGTTTCCCCTCTCCACAACTGTTCTCCTGCTTCCTATCTTGGGAAATTAGAAGATGATTTTATAGTGATTTTGTACAATGTTCATTGTCTTCTATTTGAATAAGACTTAAGCAATTTTGTATTGAACAGGTGTGCCTCTTTCCTTTTGGTAACCAGAGTGCTTAATCAGAAACGTTTGGGTATTTTAGCAGTGAGGCATAGAAGTAATTTTGAGGTTTGTTGACTACATCCTTTATTTTTTTTCCCCTTCTTAATGTGAGAATTGCTTGCTATCTTAAGGGTGAAATCCAGTTTCTAGTGTAGAGATCACACATGTATACTTTCCTTGCCTATAAAATGTTTCTGTCCCATTTCACAGGTTTTCCGTGAGAACAATTTTGTGTGTATTAAAGCCTATAAAACATGTAGATGTCACCTATAAACTATAATAAAACTATAAGTTGAGCCCTAGCTCACTTGGCACAGTGGTTCCCGGACTGATTCCTGTCAAGGGCACATACCTGGGTTGCACACACAGTTCCAAGTAGGGGGTCATGCAGGAGGCAGCTGATGGATGTTTCTGGCTTTCTGTCTCTCTTTCTCTCTGTTAAAACTCAATAAAGTGTATTTAAAAAGAAAAAAGGGAAAAAAAGAAGGCGGCTCTGGCCTAAGCGAAGGCGGTGCTGGCAGCTGGGGGAAGGAAGGCCCATTCTTACAGGCATCCTCACGCCTCAGGCCCAGAGTACAGGACATAATAGTATGTTAAGAGAAGAAGGGGTAGATTTACATATTAGATATTGTATATTAGGTATTTATGTATTAAGCATTTTATGTGTATTCAGTTATGCCAGTATATGTGTGTATGTATACATATATAATATCTCTAAGAGGATTTTTTAAATGCAAATTATAATTTCTGGAGAGGGTAACTGGGGGAGGTCAGTGGGAGGCAGGTTTAATTTGTATTGTATACTATTTTATACTATTTGATCTTTCTTTTCTCATATGCCTATATTACTACATTGCATTGACTCTTTATATCTGATTGTAAAATATGCCATAATTTTTTTGTTAGAAAAAGAAGAAACACAGTCAATTAAACTATACCATAGTGGGTTTTTTTGTAAATAAAATATGTATTTTATAATATAAGCATATATTATAAACTATTATAAAATGACACAATGCTTTTTTAAACATAGAAGTTATATTTTTTCTTATTGAAGAGTTCCTTGAGACTTAAACGTAAGTTTTTGTGATAGCACTTATGCATATATAAAAAGGAAAGTATAACTGACATAAAGTGATTAAGGTATTCCTAAAACTTCTTCACATTCAAAGTTGGACCCTACCTTATGTCCCTATGAATTTGCCTGTTCTGGGTACCTCATAAGTGGTATCATATATTTGTTCTTCTGTGTCTTTGTTATTTACTTAGCATAATGTTTTCAAAGTTCATCCATGTTGTAGCATTATCAGAATTTCATTCCTCCTTAAGGCTAAATAATACTCCATTATGTTTATCTGAATGAAACACCTCATTGAGTTTATTATCTGTTGATGGAGGTTTGGGTTGTTATCATATTTCATCTTGTGAATAATGCCGCTGTGAACACTGGTGTTCAGGTTTCTATTTGAGTCCCTGCTTCCAAACCTTTGAGAATATATATTCATTACTATTCTTGCTTGGATTGGTTTGTTTGTGTTTATTTTTTAGGTTTTTGTTTGTTTCTTCTATATGAATTCAAGAAACAACTTTTTTAATTCCAAGTATAGGGCTATCAGTATTTTTATTGGGTTATGTAAAACTTAAAAGTTTACTTAGTGATCATCAATATTTTTATCATGTTAAATATTCTCATTCAAGAATATGGTATGGGTTTCTTTGTGTAGGTCATCTTTTGTGTCCTTTAAGGAGGACTTAAAAAATTTTTTCTTTTATAGGCCTAGCATATTTCTTGTTAAATTTATTCTTAGATATTTTATCTTTTTTATTGAATTTCTAATGAAGTCTAGTTTGTATATATGAAAGCTCTGTAATTGGTTGAGGTACATATTGTTAATTGTGCCAGTAGGGGATGTGTTATTATCTATGAGTGAGCTTGCTCCTGTGTTGGAATCGTTACCTTCTAGACTCTAGAATCTAGAGGAAAAAGACCCCTGTAACCTACCTTCCAATTCTGGGCATCAGTTTTCCCCTAAGCTGCCCAGATAGACAACCTCAGGAAGTCTTTCTCAAGGTGGGCCCTGTTTTGCTCAACTGTACCTCCTTGATGATTTAATTTCTCAGCAAGAAGACAGTTTCGTGGTGGGCACAGCCGAGGGGACAGTATTCCATTTTCAGCTGGTCTCTGTGACTTCCAACAGCAGCGAGAAGCAGTGGGTACGGACAAAGCCATTCCAGCATCACACACACGACGTGCGGACCGTGGCCCACAGCCCGACAGCATTGATATCGGGAGGTGGGTTCCGCCCTCGCCAGCTGCTGCTGCACTCTGCCCAGCTCTGCTTGTTTTCACGCAAGACATTTTCTAATTCTGATGTCTTCTCCCCACTCCCTCCCTCCCGCCTAGGCACTGACACCCACTTAGTCATTCGTCCTCTCATGGAGAAAGTGGAGGTAAAGAACTACGATGCTGCTCTCCGAAAAATCACTTTTCCCCATGTAAGTATCACCCCCTATTCCCCCACGTTCTCTTCATTTTCCAATTCCTCTGTCACACAACAGTCTGAGCATAGCTCACACTTCCTATGCTCGGCGCTTTTTTGTTACATATTGTGCTTAGCCATGTTACAGTTCTTAGCACACTTAGTGTAAATGCTTGCTTAATTCTGTGTCAATCCTTTAGACTATGAGCTTGAGAGCGGTAGGTATGCTTTTATTTACCAGTGTGTTCTTAGACCCTAGGACAGTGCCTGGCATATGGTATTGTGTAGGAAATACTTATCAGGCAAATGGATTTTAGCAGTAAAAATATGCTAAGATGCTGCTGCTATATCTCATACTGCAACAGTAGATGACCCTGACTGACTTACCACTTTTCGATTCTTGGATACAGCGACGTCTCATTTCCTGTTCAAAAAAGAGACAGCTGCTCCTCTTCCAGTTTTCTCATCACTTGGATCTTTGGCGACTGGGATCTACAGTTGCAACAGGTAAGATGGGAGCAAGACTTTCCTAGGAAGAAAACTGAAGAGAGAAGCCAAAACTTAGAATTGCAATTGATACTCTGCTTATGGAAAAATGGGAAGTAGATTTTTCTTGTCCCTTGGAACTCATGGTTTCCATCCACCAGATGGAGCAAAGGAGTTCTTCCGAGTGTTAGATCTGTTAAAAGTTTACAGTTCTGTATGGTAGAATGGGTAGTGGTAGCAGGATGTAGAGAGTGTGAAGGTTGTGGAATCGTAGTTCGCACTGTTTTGGTTAGGATCAAAATAGGATGTTGAAAAATGGCAGGATTTAATGTTGGTTAGTGACATCCCTGCTAGGAGGACGCAACAGATCTTACTAGGTCAATGGTCTGCAAACTCATTAGTCAACAGAGCCAAATATCAACAGTACAATGATTAAAATTACTTTTGAGAGCCAAGTTTTAAAACTTGAACTTCTTCTATTGCCACTTCTTCAAAATAGACTCGCCCAGGCCATGGTATTTTGTGGAAGAGCCACACTCAAGGGGCCAAAGAGCCGCGTGTGGCTCGCGAGCCACTGTTCGCTGATCACGGTACTAGGATGAGAGCCTACTGGCCTTTTGTATGCCCTGTAAGGAAATGTTTAGGTTCTATTGTTTTATATTGGATTAGGTTTATATTGGAATAAGTTTCCAAAATGAGCAAATGGAGTTGAGGCCACAGCAACCACAAATTCCACTTTTACCCACCTAAATGCCTGGCTGTGGTGTTGAGCTTCAGCAAATTAGTGATGTACCATAGGGCCATGGAGGACACCCAAAAAGAAGTTAAGAAAATGTTCACTGCTTTCCCCAGAAAATGGTAGGCTTATGAAGATAGTTTCCTGATTTGTCACTGTCAGAGTCCCCATTCTATCCAGGAATGACTTTAGAAGAAAAAATATATACAAATAACCTTTCTTTGAAGAGGAAAAACCTCAGGGAAATTTCTTGTTCCAGGAAAGCATGGGGATACCCTTCCACTCTCCAAAGATGCAGATCATTTACTGCAGCTCAAAACAAAGGTAAGGAAGTTTAACTGTATGTGTGCAGTCTCTGAAATCCAGAGCATTTTCTCCTGCTGAATTTTGAGGATTACTTAGTTGAAAACACTAACTATAAAATCTAAAATAATTTGAATGAAGTACCTTGTCAGCAGAACTGGATTTCCCATGATTATATGTTGGACATTTAGAATTTATTGGGTGGGTGAATACAGGAAATTGGTTTTATTATTTTTTTTGTATTATTATGAAAATAATATGCTTTTTAAAAAAATATATTTTATTGATTTTATACAGAGAGGAAGGGAGAGAGATATAGAGAGTTAGAAACAACGATGAGAGAGTCATCCATCAGCTGCCTCTTGCACACCCCCTTCTGGGGATATGCCCACAACCAAGATATATGCCCCTGACCGGAATTGAACCTGGGACCTTTCAGTCCATAGGCAGACATTCTATCCACTGAACCAAACCGGTTTCAGCTGCCAATAGTTTCTTGTATATCCTTCCAGAAAAAAATTTCCACCCATTTGTGCATATGCCTTTTCTTTTTATAATAATGGGAATCTACTATGCAAACTTCTTTGTGTTATTTAAAAAAAAAAACTTTATTTTAATTACACAAATATTTGTGACTACAATCTCACTGTAAAAAATTCAAGCAATATTGATAGTTTATTTCCTCATCCACTTCTTTAATTCTAATTCCATTTCCTGAAATAATTGTTAATTGGCCAGCTGTAATATGTCCTTCCAGATCTTCTTTGAGTGAGAGAGTATTTATGTGGTACATACGTATTTTCATACATTTACTTATATTTCGTGAGTTTTTTCAAGTATATAAATGTTACCAATTTTTCTCTTGTTCTGCAAATTTTTTCACTTATTATTTCTTAGAGGCCCCCTTCTTTTTTTTTAATCCTCACCCCAGGATATGTTTTTATGGATTTTTTTTTTTTATTTTTTTTTTTAGCTAGAGGAAGAGAGAGAGAAATAAACATCGATGTGAGAGAGAAACATTGATAATTTTCCTCTCTTATGCACCCCAACTGGGGATCAAACCTGCAGCCCTGCAGCCTGGGTATGTGTCCTGACTGGGAATCCAATCGGCAGCCTTTAGTGTTATAGGACATGCCCCAGCTAACTGAGCCCCCAGGACAGGGCTTCTCAGAGATCTTTACAGTAGACTGTCCTAGAACAAACAAATCAATCCTCCAAGTCACCTCGCCTCCAAAGCTTCCTGCATTAAGTGCCTCTCTGCTCGGGTTTCTGACGTTAGGGTTTAATATGCAGCTGTCTGTGAGGTACACAGGGCTGAGATTATTTAGTTCACAGTATTCTTAGATCTCAGCTCCTGGAAACCAACGCCACACTGTTTAGGTACTCTGCTTCTGACGTAATCACTGTGACACACAGTATGTAATTGTCAGGATTGTGTGTAGGTGTTTGTGGATTCGTCCAGAGTGATGACAGCTTAGGGATTCATATCACAGTGAACCTCGTTGTCTCACGTTTTACTTGAACACTCATCCTCATTCCTGACATTGCAGGGGCCCGAGAACATTATTTGCAGCTGTGTATCCCCATGTGGAAGTTGGATAGCGTATTCTACAGCGTCTCGGTTTTTTCTCCGTCGGTTGAATTACGAACATGACAACCTAAGCCTCCACAGGGTAAGTGATAACCCAGGGTCTGGTTGAACGAGAAGAAAATTCCTAAGTAAATTTTTGTGTGAAGTGGGAACGTACTGGATAGGAATCCTTACTCAGTGGAAGGTATTTGGAGAAAGGTGTTTTATTTTTTCCACTTGGATTTGCTTTTGTTTTTGGAAGAGTAGGGAAATGCCAGAGAGTGGCAGTAAAGTTCGAGCTTTTTGAAGAGATAAAGGAGACGGGGGTGTATGGGTTACATCAGACATGTCAGTGTCCCTGACCCTTCGTCAGTTGGCTTCCTTAGACACAGGAAGCATGAATGTAACTGAAGGCTGGCGGAGATTATTACTGATGGCCTCTAGGTCTCGCTTCTCTCTCTCACCGGTCTTTTTTTACTACTGGTCCACCCCAAGGTTTCCAAAATGCCAGCGTGCCTTCGTTCTGCTGTTCAGATTATGTTTTCTGAAGATTCAACAAAGCTCTTTGTGGCTTCAAATCAAGGATCGCTGCATATCCTTCGGCTGTTGGAAGGAAGCTTCAAGCACCTGCACACTTTCCAGGCTCAGTCAGGTAGGAATTTAGTAACTGGCCATAGGAAAGAGCTGTCGGCCTCTGATATATCTATTTTTTTTTTTTTTCTTCTTTCTTTTAAACCTTATTCATTGTCGGGTATTCACTGACAGTCTTCTCCCCCATGCAAGTGCATCCACTCACATGGTTGCAATTTAAAGTAGGAGGAGATATCTGGCAAATAAAAACGTTGATGAGATGTGAAATATTCCTCACACCTACTCTTTTCTCACTGGGCTCTTGATTCTTTATTTGGGGCCAGAGAAGTTTCATCACCCTTGAAAGAGTTTTTGTTAGCAGGGCAACAAGAACATTAAAATAATTTATAATCCTGACTACTGTTAATATAGTTGTATCCAGTATGTGTGTAGGCAGGCATTTTATAGACATGTTAATTTTTTGGTTGTTTTTATAAAGATGAACTTACACATACAGTTTCATTACCTATCATATAATGTTCATGGTCACTTTTCCCTGTTCTTTGAGAACATAAATGCATATGCATGAATAAGTGACTTTGTAGTTAACTTGTTGAGTTAATTATTGAGGACTTAGTCACCCAGCTTAATTTAAGTTAGTAGTTTTCTTGGATGCTTCCCATGGGCCTTTTTCCTTCTTCTTCACCCTGGATTATAGCAGCTTCATGGTCACTTAGACTATCAGCTTGGAAAGTCGACTCTTTTTTAAAAAAAATATATATTTTTAAAATATATATTTTATTGATTTTTTACAGAGAGGAAGGGAGAGGGATAGAGAGTTAGAAACATCAATGAGGGAGAACATAACATCGATCAGCTGCCTCCTGCACACCCCCTACTGGAGATGTGCCCACAACCAAGGTACATGCCCTTGACCGGAATCAAACCTTGGACCTTTCAGTCCGCAGGCCAACGCTCTATCCACTGAGCCAAACAGGTTTCGGCCTCTTTAATATTTTTATTGATTTTTTAGAGAGGAAGGGAGAGGGAGAGAGAAATAAAAACATCGATCGGCTGCCTCCTGCATGCCCCCTACAAGGGATTAAGTCTGCAATCTGGGCATGCGCTCTGACCAGGAATCAAACCAGCCATCACTTGGTGCACAGGACAATGCCCAACCAACTGAGCCACACCAGCCAAGACAAAAGTCAACTCTTTTAACTTAAACTCTCACTGTTCATAAGCTGCTTCCAAAGCATGCAGGAAAAGAAACCCACAAGTTAGTAATCAGATAAAGTAAACTGCCAATTTTTATTGAGTGCCTATATGTTTTTATTATAAAACTTAAGACTCTTTAGTTTGCATTTAGCATCCCTTAAAATTAGGCCCTGCATAGTATATATACTTTTACTTCTTCTCTCTCATCTCACTTCTTCCTTAGAGTCAGGCTGGTTTCTTCACAGCCTTCAAACCTGTGCATTTCATTTCTTGTTACTTAGCTCACGTTCTTCATCTTTTCCTACCTACCTCACCCATCCTTCAGCATCTGACTTATGCCTTGCATTAGAGCTTTTTTTTTTTATCATTTGGGGGTGCTACAGCAGCATGTATTTTGGCATATAGCATCACTGTCTGATTTTTATCCCACATGAGTTTTTATGTTGCCAGATTGGTTTAAAATCTTTTGATGACAAAGATGGCTCATATGTGCCCATGCTCCTGTAATGCTAAATATATAGCATGCAGCTCAATAAATTTAAGATATGCTTTAAGCCTGTTGAATGGGATGTTTGTCCCTAACTTTTAATAAAAACTATTTGGTAGAGCCCTCGCCAGTTTGGCTCAGTGGATAGACTGAAGGGTCCCAGGTTCATTTCTGGTCAAGGTCATATGTGTAGGTTGTGGGCGCAATTCCTAGTGGGGGGATGAGGGCTTGCAGGAGGCAGCCGATAAATGATTCTCTCTCATCATTGATGTTTCTCTCTCTCCCTTTCTCTCTGAAATCAATAAAAATACATTTTTAAAAACCTACTTGGTAGAGAAGGATTTTTAAAACAAAATATAGATTTTAGTGGTAGCTGCTACCTTGATTCTTCATTCCTGTAGTAGGCAGTGTCTCTCATTCAGGCCTGAACAAGTGATGCCTTCATGTTTATCTCTCCGGCTCCTCTTTATATGAAGAGTAGTTATTAAATGAAAATAGACTAACTTATGTAGAACTTATTTGCAGAATTATCAAGAAATTATCCTCGTCCCCAGTCTATATGGCTCAGTATAGTTGAGTGTCCACCTATGAACCAGAAGGTCATGGTTCTGTTCTGGTCAGGGCACATACCCAGGTTGTGAGCTCAATCCACAGTATTAGGTGAGCAGGAGGCAGCCAATCAGTGATTTTCTCTCATTATTGATGTTTCTATCTCTCTTCCTCTCTTTGAAATCAATTTTTAAAAAATGTATTTTTTAAAAATTATTCTATTAGTAATTTAGAACTGAGGATCTTACTGGCTTTGCCATCATCAAAGCAGGGCTGGCTGTGGACATTGGACATTGAATTCAGACTTACCTGTTGTCCTGTCCTCACAGGGACAGTGGAGTCCATGTGTCTGTTGGCCGTCAGTCCAGACGGGAATTGGTTAGCTGCATCCGGCACCAGTGCTGGCGTCCATGTGTACAGTGTGAAACGTCTGAAGGTGAGCTTTCGGTTTAGTAGCAGCACACAAGAAGTTCACCCTGCAGGTTTAAGATTCAGGGCCAGTTGGTATGACCTGGAAAATTACTAGGCTTTTTTTTTATCTTAACCAAGAATTTTTCCTGTTTTACTTGTTTGGGATCTAAAAGCTGTAATCTACCATATTAAAATCAGTCAGTGGGAACTGAAACCACTGGTGCCCAGAAATTTGAAATTAAGGATTTATGGGTGATGAGCCAACATTTCTATATTTTGGAGAGGAAATTTTTTATCTACCATGGTGAATAGTTACAGTTGGTAACAATTTCCTTTAATAGTTTACCTTGCAATCTCAGGGTACTTTTTAAATTAAACTGGACCAGAAATTTGACAGAGAAATAGCAGGAAAACATTTTTCATGAATCAGTAATGATATTGTCATTCACCCATTGAATCACTAGTGGTCCCTTACAAATCTTCATCATAAAAGTCAGATAAGAACCACCCAAAACTTGGGATAAGCATGAAGTTTATAGAACCATCTAGAGGCCCCATGCATGAAATTTGTGGTCCCTAGGCTTGACTGACGATAAAAGTGCGCATCTGATGTGAAAAGGCAGGTCCCAGCTGACCTCTGGGCAGCACCTGGGCCCCTGCATGCCCCCTCTGCCTGAGTCACAGTACCCGAGTCCCCAAGTGGAGATGCAGTGAGCACAGCTGGCCACCATCTACAAGGCAATCAGCAGGGCTATCGGCCCCCGCTTGCACCTGCCTTGTCCTGGTGCTGCCTGCTCACCTGCTCCACCATCCTGCCGTGGTCCTGCTCTCATCAGAACTGCCACCTGCTGCCAACACCAGCCATGTCCCGTGCCACCCCCTGGTAGTCAGTGCACATAATAGTGAGTGGTCAAACTCCCAGTCAAACAATTTGCATATTAGGCTTTATATGAGGCTTTTATAATATAGGATGCCATATTGCTGCATTTAATGGGTTTGCCTGTTAACTACACAACTTAATCTTTATTACATTGTGGGAATAGTGTGTACTGCTTGCTTTTTGAGGCTTGCCTGGCATTTAAGACTGTCCTGTGTAGTAGTGCAAATGCCTTTCAGTTGTACATAAATGTCCAAGCCCAGGCATTGATTTATTTCTTTTTTGTTGTTAATTCTTACCAGAGGATATTTTTCCGCTGCTTTTCAGAGAGAGTAGAAGGAGAGAGAAACATCAATGTGAGAGAGACACATTGACTGGTTGCCTCCCACACTCACCGCAATTTGGAACCTGCAACCCAGATTCCCTTGATGGAACCCGCAACCCTTCTGTGCATGGGCCGACACTCTAACCACTGTACCGCTGGCCAGGGCAGCATTGATTTCTTCTAAATCCAGTGTGGATATGTAGATTCTCTGTTTAATGACATGTTTACGATCAGTTTATGTTGATATCAAGACAGCAGGGAAAGCTTTACTCTGCAAATGCTGTCAGTTTTGTAAGCAGTTAAAACATTTTTTTTTTTTTAAGAGATAAAATTTTACTGTTTGGAGAAATGCCTGACATTTATGGGAACTTTCATAGGACCCTTTGCGTTCCAAGTGATACTCTTTAAAGACAATTGACTTAGACCATCCAGTCTTTCTTGGGTGTGGGTATCACATAGAGGTGCCTTTTATGTCTGCTTCTTCCCAGCTTCACTGCACAGTTCCTGCTTACAATTTCCCTGTGACTGCTCTGGCCATAGCCCCCAAAACCAACAACCTTGTCATCGCTCATTCTGACCAGCAGGTGAGAGATTCTGGTGCTTTCCAATTACTTTTTGCTGGACGGTAACTTAGAAGCTGAGATGATAACTTTGGAAGACCCTTTCCTTGGAAGTACTGGATGATATGAAGGTCGATTTAGACTGGAGAGAACGTGGATTCAGGTGTTAGACTGGATATGGGATGGAATAAGATTTTGAGAGTTGAAAGTGATGAAAACATAACTAACCTTCACTTTTGCAGGTGAGGAAATCAGGTACCTAATACCAGCCAAAATTAGTGCTCAGCCTCCCGCTTTTTTTCATACTAAATTGTAAGAAGATTGTCGTTTTAAGGAGATCTCTGAAATACCTGAGCTATAGAACATACTCTGAAATTATTCTGACTTCATCTGTAAAAAGGGCATGATAATACCTTCCTCACTGGAAAGATTTAAATGTGATCCGAGAAGCACATTTAAGTAGACTTCCAGGCAAATGGTGCGTGCTAATGTAATCAGTAGTTTTTACACTCGCACATGCACACTCATATATTACATTCTAGCCAAAAAAATTAAATCTCTCTTTTTAGTTTCATAGAGCTGTGTCCTTAATCAAAGACTGAAAGATTAGTGAAGCCACCTCCTTTGTCACATATAATGATCATGTCCACCTGATGCCTTTTACTGGCAGTTGGTCCCGTAAATTCTTCAGTCATTAAAACTGGTGGGAGAGGTTTATGTACCTGGTAGATTAGCAAAGATCAATAAAGGTGATAATACACAGGATGTGAGAGTATAGGGAAACAGCACTCCATACATTGCAGAAATCAGTATGACTTCTTTAGAGAACATTTTGGCAATATCTATAAAAACATTTAATGCACATAATCTTTGATTTGAAGTTAACATTCTAAAAGTTCTTCCTACAGATAATATGCTTTCAGCTGTACAGAAGGACATTGATACAGAGATAATCATTGCAGCCTTGTTTGTTGTAGCCAAAGATTAGAATTAATCTAAATGTCTATTAAACAGACTAGATAAGTCAGTCGTGGTACATCCAAAAAGTGCGTGGGTAATTATGTGTTCTTCAAAGGGGCTCTTCAAAGGAGTACGAGTGACCTATATTGAATGAGTCATAGTGTGTCTTGTATGCATCAAATATCTCTGAGAAGATGTAAATAAGAAAAATAACAGGCTACTTTTGTCTTGGGGAGAAGAGGTAAAAATTACAGGGTGACTTTTCATTATAAACCTCAATGCTGTTTAATTATTTAGTCTGTAATTTACCTTAAATTTTTTTTTTATTTAAAAAAAGAATAGTGAGAAAGCATAAGGCTGAAGGTTCATATAGATATTTTCTGGTCTTTCTGGATACGAGCCAGCATTTCTTCCGCCTAACGTTCTTCCTCAGATATTTGAATACAGCATCCCAGACAAGCAGTATACAGAGTGGAGCCGGGCCATCCAGAAGCAGGGGTTTCATCACCATTGGCTCCAAAGGGATACTCCCATCACCCACATCGGTTTTCATCCCAAGAGACCAGCGCACATTCTTCTCCACGACGCCTACATGTTCTGCATCATCGACAAGTCCTTGGTAAGTTCTTTGCCACTTCACCCTTGCTCTTCCCAAATCTTCTTTACTTGAGAAACTGCAAGTTCTAAAAGCAAGAGGTACAATAAATTAGAGGAGGGAGAATCAGAATCAAGATTTCCTGCTATATGATTTGGAGGAGAGAGAAGCCTTTTGTTTTGCAGATTCCTTGTTTTTGTTCCCACATTTTTTTAAGGCTCCGGGGAAGGAGTGGGCCTTTGTGCACTGGTTTTTGCTAATCTGACCACTTCTTTGTTTTGCCTGTGAGTACACAAACTTAAGTGGCGAAGTGATTAGGTCAGTATCCAGAAGGTGACCCTCATTTGGGAAAACCATTGAATTGGCTGAATCACTGCTACCTTTGCACCCTGAGTGGCTGAACAATATGGTTTCATCAAAGGGAATACAGGCTGTGGTTTGGACCACATACGTGCCTAGGCTGTATGTACTCAGACACTATCTGCAGGCTTGATGAGTTGGTCTTAAGATCTTAAAAAAAGTCCAGCTAAGATTTCAATTCTTCATGGCTGTGATTTAGGTGGGCATTTTTTCCCGTTCTAGATTCCATCCTCTGCCAGCTGGTGTTTTGATTCACTGCAGTTTATCCTTTTTGAGCAGGCACTTTCTTTCCCGCGAGCCCTGAGCTCTGTGGCCATGCCTGCAATGCACTGTGGGCTTACATTACAAGCAACACACACAGTGTTGTGTATCTGTGAGGCGGGGGGTGGAAGGAACACGGGGAAAGCAGCAGATGGCTCTACAGGAGGGTGCGTGGTGATGTGTCATTGGAACGCTTCTCATGGGCTCCGCGTCCTCTGGGTGTGGGAAGTCGAGTTGGCTGACAAGTGCCTTCTGCAATTTGAGTGACACAGGAAGGGCCTCTCCCACTCGCTTGCCTCTTTGTAGCTCAGTCCAGATCGGCCCGTATTTTTTCCCAAGCATGGTGATAAGTCCATCACTTCCTCTTTCCGGGCAGAGCTATTTCCCAAGGAAGTCAGAGATGAAATATCACTTGCTTGGCCAGAGGCCATCTCTTGAGGTGTCAGTGACATCAGTGGAGATGGTTGTGTTGCCGTTTCTCCTGGGGAGAACTTTAGTCACTGGGCCAGCCCGTGACAAGCAGAACCTTCATGGGCTAAGCTCCTGCACATGCCAGTTTATTCCTGTCACTCCGTGTTACTGACAAGACTGGCGGAAGCCCCAGCTGGGCTCTTTGATCTTGCCGGCAGAGTACCAAGCTCTTTTTGCCTCATTCACCCCCCTCTGCAGTACAGCTGGAAGAGTGACTACAGCTCTCTTCCTGAAGTGAGGAGAGTCAGGGAGGAAGTAAATGTATATTATATATATGATGGTTGGGAGATAGTGTTTGCCTGAAAAATCATTATGGTCCATTCAATAAAAACAATGACTTAAACAGTGTATCTTTGTCGTTTTAGCCTCTTCCAAATGACAAGACCTTACTGTACAATCCACTTCCTCCCACGAATGAATCAGATGTCATCAGGAGGCGCACAGCCCATGCCTTTAAAATTTCTAAGAAATATAAGGTAAAGCATCTTGCATAATATTTTGGAGAGTTGATTCCTTGTGATATTATCCAAATGTATCCAAAAGCTATCAAAATGTCACCTTCATTTTTCATGCAGCGGAACTCATTTGGGGAGACAAGTAACTTCTGAGGATGTGTGTCCCTTATGTCTGTTTCATTGTTCTTGCTGTAATAGATTAGAGGCACATCATACTTAACCAAAATGAAATACATCAGTAGTGAGAAATAATGTTGGAGCTTAGGTGGGGTCTTTGTGTTAAAGCTGACTTTTATATTTTACCTCTAGTTGGAGAATCCTATCTAATAAAGAGGGAATATGCTAATTGACTGCCCGCCCTCAAAGGTGGCAGTGGCCAGGCCTGCCTCTGGAGTCCCCCAGTCCCCTCAGTACCCCCAGCTGCCCAGGACCAGCCTGAGGCCCAGGCAAGCCTCGGATGGCAGCTGCCCAGCCACCAGGGCCGGCCGAGGCTTGCGCTGCCAGCAGTGCCAGCAGTGGCAGGTGTCGTGGAGTGTCGCCTTCCCCTGATCGCCTGGTTGCCTCCCATCCCTGAGGGCTCCCATACTGAGAGGGGGCAGGCCGGGCTGAGAGACACTCCCTCCCCTCCAGTGCATGAATTTTCATGCACCGGGCCTCTAGTGTTCTATAAGATAATTTTCGACAAATGGAAGTCATTGACTATTACGACTTTCTTTTCTGGGCTAGGCTTTTCACTATATAGAAAACAGAAATCACTGAGCCTATGATATTCCAGCTATTTGTGCCACCTTAGAAGTTCCATATTTATGCTTCTGAGATGGGGTTCCATGGGTGCCCCGGAGCATTTTCTGAGGGGCCTGCATGCAATTCTTTTCTAAGGGGAGGAAGGTCTGTGAATTATTCAAGTATGATTAGCTTCTTAATGGATTTGTAACTTGTCATTTGTCAAAAATTTGGGCTCCAAGCCCTCAGTTAATACTGATTCTAAGAAATTAATTTTTTTGTACAGAGAAACATGAAAAACCTTGCTGCAGTCTTCTGTGCGTGAACTCAGTTAAAAGTTCCCAGCCTTTTCATCCATTTTGAGTCCCAGGGCAGGACGGGCTGTCAGAGATTTACACCCTCCAGTCTTGAACTAGACTAACCCTTTAGCTCTAGGTCCTCTATTTAGGACTGGGCATGCATGGAGCCTACCTCCTGCTAAGAGTCATTCTCATCTCTCTACAGCCTCTACTCTTCATGGATCTTTTGGATGAAGGAACACTGGTGGCAGTAGAACGGCCCCTGGATGACATCATCGCTCAACTCCCACCACCCATCAAAAAGAAGAAATTTGGGACCTAAGATAGGGCACTGTCTGTGTCCTCCCTTGAACTGCCCTTTCCTATTTGTTTTCACAAATCACGTTAATAAAAAAATGTTATTCTTTAGGATTAGAGTCCTCATAAATGTTACATTCATATATTTTTATTGATATCGGAGAGGGGGAGAGAGAGAGAGAAACATCAATTCATTGATCAGCTGCCTCCTGCACACCCCCTACCGTGGATCAAGCCCACAACCCAGGCATGTCCCCTAACCAGGAATCGAACCGGGACCCCCTGGTTCTTAAGTGACACTCAACCACTGAGCACACTAGTCAGGCAAAAACGTTGCCTTTCAAAGTAATGGGCAGTAATTTCCCTTCATTGAATGAGAGTAAAAGGAAACACCAAGGTATTTGTACTTGGGATAATGTTCTAAGTAGCTACAAATTCATGCAACTTTTTCAGGGTCTTGTTTGTGTTTTCAGACCATAATCTCGAGGAGAGAGAAAAATGATAGTTACCCTCTCTTCCCTAACACATGCCTGAGGCTTCAGAGTGCCGATGACCTTCACTGTCTGTCAGCCTCCAGCCTGCAGCCCTTGCTGAAGCGTGGGGGCCTGCCCAGCATTGCCCTGGAGCGCAGGGAACTATGCTTGCTTATCAAAGATAGCCTGTCTACCATTAGCAATAATCAGCCTGTGTTCAAGGAAGAATTTTAACGGCTGTGCTCCATCCAAAAAGCAGAAGCTGTTGGCCTTTCACTGTCAGGTATTAATTTTATTTAAAAGGAAAAAACTGAGCTTTGGTGTATCAGTCCCATCAACTCTCTTTTCACTTGTTATATGCCATTTTCAGAGGTTCAGGAAACATTGGGCATTTTGGTAAGCAGTAGGGGTGAGAGTGGGAATCAGAAAGCCTGTCACATATCTCACCTTTTCTGTCCTTGTCTACCGTCTTTGACATTGTTATTCCTGTGGGTGTTGACTGACTAGTTTTAATGTGATCTTTTAAATGAGAAAGTGAAGAACTATACTTAACCTGAACTGAGCAGATAGGTTTCTTTCCCATCTCGGTGGATGTATTCTGTTGCATGCCTGCAGAAACCCAGTATGTGTGAGGTTTTGTTTGTGTGTTTGTTTAGGGCATGAAGGGCTGTGGTATAGGCAGAGAAGTATGTGAGTTCTGATGACATCATATGAGTAACAAAGCTGGTGAAAAAACATTGCGCTAAGATGGAGTCTGGAAAAGAAAAATAAAGGTGAGAATTTAAAGTACAGGTGTGGGGGGAGAATTAATAGGTAAAGAGATAAAGGAAGCCCCAATGCATTATAACATAAAGGACAGCCTGTTTCAGCTTCATTTGCTAAGAGGGAACAACAGGGTTTATAATGGGCACAACTTCTCGGCCCTGCGTATTCAGATGGTGTACAGTGATCATGAGGGCTGATGTAAATAAGCAGATGCAACTTTCTAGGCCCTCTGAATAAAATAACTTCCCTCTTAAATAAATGTCTTCAGTGTGACCTATTCTCTTCATCTGCATTTGACTGGAGTATTACAAACTTTCAGTGGACTAGAAGATCCTGCCTTTTCTAAGAAACAATTTATGTGTTTGGTGTAGTTGAAACCAAAGTTCAAGTCACTGGTCTACGTTGAATGTGACCAGAGCAAGGCGAGGATGCCTTAAATATTAACTCACTCGCTTTTAACTGACTGTAGAGCTATAAATCCAGAGACTCTTCTTAACTGGAGGCTAGTTTATGACTTGATTTACTTAACCTTAAACATTCTGAAACCTTGTGGATCTTGGACGGTGTCATTCTGACAGAGAGGGCCCACAGACCATCTGAGTGAAGAAGTAAAACTTCTGAAAGTAAAAAGCATTCCTTTGCAACATATCCAGCCAGTGACTTGGATTTCCATAAATGGTATGGGAAGTAAGAGCTCTGAGCCTTGAAATTCTTCCTAAGTAGAGAATTTTGAATGCAAATGAAGCAGAAACTGATTGAGGCAAGTTAGAGAATTTGGGGAAGGAAAGGCAAAGCAGTATTAAAGAAAAGGACACGTTAGTGCCCATGTTTTGGGGTGATTTTACTTTGGGGATTGTGTAACTGGAACACATTATGTTTCTGTTTCAGACATTTTGCAGACTAGCTCATATTTGGGTTCCACAAAAAATTTTGATCTGATACCTAGAAAACTTTTTTTTTCCTGCTGACCAGACTCAAATGCTTTAAAAGCAGTTTTCTCTGCCCTAGCCAATTTGGCTCAGTGGCCTGTGGGCTAAAGAGTACTGGGTTCGATTTCAGTCAAGGGCACATGCCCAGGTTGTGGGTTCAGTCCCCAGTAAGGGGCATGCAGGAGGCAGCTGACCAATGATTATCATCACTGATGTTTCTATCTCTCCCTATCCCTTCCTCTCTGAAATCAATATATGTATGTGTGTGTGTGTGTGTGTGTGTATTTTTAAATGCCAACAAAAGTTTTCTCATGTAGTTAGTAATCTGATTTCTGAATGGCTAATGTGCCCTTCACCATGGGGATTACAGCCAATTATACTGGAATATTGGGGGAAAGTTAGAGGCCATCTAGTGTGGGTGTCTTTTGAAGCATCAAAACTTTCTTGAAAGGGAACTTCATTCTGAACTGCCATATATGATATAGAAGTGGAACTGTTCTTGTTGGAGGAAGGGATGGGTAGGAGTCAGAGGTTTGTGAAAGAAACCATGTGTTTCTTGGTCTCCTTTTTATATTCATGGCAGTAGAGACTAAGAGGAGAAGAGGCACCAAAACCGGTTTGGCTCAGTGGGTGGAGCCTTGGCCTGCGGACTGAAGGGTCCCGGGTTTGATTCTGGTCAAGGGCATGTGCCTTGGTTGTGGGCACATCCCCGGTAGGGGGTGTGCAAGAGGCAGCTGATTGATGATTCTCTCTCATTGATGTTTCTAGGTCTCTATCCCTCTCTCTTCCTCTCTGTAGAAAATCAATAAAATATATATTTTTTAAAAAGAGAGAGAGAGAGAAGAGGCGCCTTTTTTGCAGTGGTCAGACAATGGTTTGTTAGAGGCCAGGGTGGCATTCTTATGGTTATTCTCCCACTTAGGGCCCCAATCATATGATTAGCGGGCATGGTATACAAAAGATTTTTCATTTCATAGATAACAGGGAAGGTGTTTCAGCATTTCTTGCTCTGGATGAGCACTCCATTTATCTCGAGTCTTGTGGGTAATGAACAACGTTGTCTGCTAGTGCCCACCTAGTGAGATTTCTACAGGTTAATTCCTGGGAGTGGAATTGCTAGCTCATACTATGCCTATATATTTTTTTCTTTTCACTTTACTTGCCCTGGGAGTGGATGTATTTCCAGCAACAGTGTTTGAACGTACTCATTTTCTTACATCTTGGCAGTGTAGTGCTAAATTTTCGTGTTAGGCCATCTGATGGGTGAAAAATAATATTTTATTTTACATTTGCGGGGCCTACCATAGGACTGAGAGCATGCATGTCTCATTCAAGGAAGCATCTCTCCCTGCAGGGGAACGGCTTCCCTAATTTATAGGAATTAGAAACCAGGTGAGTTTCCTAGAAAAAATAAGAGTAGAACAGGAGCCACAGAGGAAAGCTAAGCATCTTAGGAAAATATGTAGAAAAGATTAGTTTTGTGTCAAAAACTTTTAAACATGTAGTGAGAACTAAGACTGGTAGGAGTGAGCCTTGAGGTTTGGTTAAAAACTGTCCTTCAGTGGAAAACATAGTTGTGAACCTCTCGTATTCAGAGGAATAGCACAGTAAAAATGCCCACTTAATAAGTAAAGGAACAGAAGAGACTGGCTGTCAGGAACACATGGAACAGGCTGTTGTGTAGGTTCTTGGGGTCTATGTTGGTTAGCTCACAGACTGGGTGGCTTAAGTCCATTTTCTCACAGTTCTTGAGGGTAGACGTCCAAGATTAAGATGTGAGCAGCACTGGTTTCTTCTAAGGCCTCTCTCGTAGGCTTGTACAAGGCCATCTTCTGGTGTCTTCACAGGGTCTTCCCTGTGTGTGTGTCTGTGTCCTCATCTCATAAGGAGCGTCCCAGTCTCTCATAAGGAGGACAGTCTATTGCGTTGGGGCCTACCCTAATGACCTCGTTTTAACTTAATTACCTTTAAAGACCCTTATCCAAATGTAGGCACTTTCTGAGGGCCTGTGCATTAGGCCTGCAACCTGTAAGTTTTGAGGGGGACAATTTAGTCCATAAAAGAGTCCTTGGGAGGATGTTAGGGGCTTTGCAAGCCCCAGAGTTTGAATGCTGAACTCTGTACAAGTCTGCATTTGTCTGAGGCATGTCCATAGCATGCACCTGATTCCCAAAGGGACCATATGAGATCTCCACAATTGGCTTATCTCATTATCTCATTAACTGATTCAGGAGGGAGTTAAAGCTGTGGGACAAAGGCCTAGAAATACCATATGCATCAGTGAACATGATTTGGTGTTCAAGAGCATATGAAAAATAGCAGTTGAGCTTGGCCGGTATGGCTCCGTGGTTGAGCATTGATCTGTGAACAAGAAGGTCACAGTTTGATTCCCAGTCAGGCCATATGCCTTGGGTTACACTGCAGGCTCAGTCCCCAGTAGGGGGCGGGGTGTGCAGGAGGCAGCCAATAGATGATTCTTTCTTATCATTGATGTTTCTCTCTCTCCCTTCTTCTCATCTATATATATATATAATATTAAAAACAAAATTAGTTGAAGCTGATTATAAGACTGCAAGTCTTATGAGGTACTGGAAATTCTGTCAGAACTAATATAAGGAAAAAGGGGATTTTTATTTTGGAGCCTTATATGAATTTTATGGCAAATTATGTTATTTCCATGATTGTCAATTTTAAGACGCTGGTAATTTTCCATAACTAAGTGGATTCAGTGAAACTAACCTTCTGCTTAGTATGTCCTTGCTAATATTTTCCTAAAAAGAAAGTCACAGAGCTACAAAACTGTCACCAGCTGCTTCTTATTAGTAATGTGGTTAGCAGATGTGGGTTTTCATAGCCATAAAGCATGAGATAGTTAATCCATTTTTGTGGGTTTCAGATGGATAGTGATTTATCTTGGCGGGATACATTTTTTTAAAATGTGCTTGCATCAGCTAAAGGATATAGGCACCTTTCCCTCTTTCACTTCCAAGTTTGTGCAGGAGAGAAAAACACACATTTTAGGGTTTCTCCTGGAAGGCAAAGGCGTACGGCCCGCTGAAAAGGACAATTGATCTCACTGTCTTCTAACTGGGGCAGAGTTATGCGTGGGTGATTTTTTCAAAGTTGGATGTTAGTGCGGTTATCTTATAAGCTTATTTCTCCTTTTAGACTCTTTAGGAGCAACTGACAGCTCTTGCTTTTGTTCCCCTGGCATCAGGCCGCCTTTGTGGCAGTGACCTTCAGGCTTGCTCAGGGCTGCAATTTTGCCTGGGGCCCTCCTTCCTTATGAAATTACACAACACTCAACCCTTGGAACGAGCCCCAGATCCACTAATTCTTTCCTTTGACGGACTCTTGGCAATATGTTCTCCCTTTATACAAGATCTGTTTGTCACCGAAATTAATCTGGCCATTTGCCCTTTAAGCCTGGAATCAAATGGTATCATGGCAGACTCATTCCTAGATAAAGTGTAGTCTCCGGGCTCCAGCGTTTTCCACCAAAGGTTTTATTGTTGCTGCTGCAGCTGAAGGCCAACAGGTACAGAGGAACAGCCGTGGGTGCTTTTCACGGACCTCTCACCGTGTGGCTGGCACAGAGCTGCTCTGCGCTCTGCCCATGTTATCCCAGTAAGCTCTCTCCACCACCCTCCCAGGTAAAAAGTATCTGGATTCTTCCAGAAAAAAACTCAACCCCATGACCTCAATCCCTTGACCACTGTCATATAGCTAAGTGGCCACGTATGATTTGAACCTTGTGCCCTTAATGACCGTGCTCTCTCATACTGTGAAGGAAAAGGAAAAGGGAAAAAAAACAAAACCCAGACCATTGGGTTTTGACAGGACACAGAATCTTGAGCCTGCCTTACAGAGTTGTAGGAAATTAGGGAACTGAGAGCTCTTCCAACCTCCTTATTTTAAACTAGCAAAGATGTCTGCCTTGCTCTGAGAAATAATAAGGTAACAGCTTGAGCAGAGGAGATTACATATTGATAGGTGACAGGAATAAAAGGTTATTAGGAATTATCCTTTTTTTTTAGAAGTAGATAACACGGCTGTTCGAAAATGAGCTAGGCTGGTCTCGGAGTCCCCGGGAAGCGGTGAAACAGACGTGTGCTCATTTTATTTCAGATTTCATTATCCACAGTAAGTGGATTGCCGCTGACTACTTTGAGATCTCCTAGATGGTAATTTTCACTCCGCAAGGAACCAGTCACCTTCAGAGGGATTATTTGAAATGACTGCGGCCCAGGAGGCGCTGCATGTCCGTCAATCACAGTTGAATGAGGTTCCTTTTTTGCAGGGCAATATTTTTTTGAATAGTGGGGGATAAAAAGAAGCCTATGGGTGGTCCCTGCCCTCCTGTATTTTTTAAATCTACTTGGGCAAACCAGCCAAGCATGAAATAAAACTGTTCAAAGAAAAAAAAAATCCCCATGAATTGTGTAGACAGGGGAAACTTGGTAGGTGGGAAGCTTGCAGCCCTGAGCAAGCCTGAAGGTCACTGCCACAAAGGCGGCCTGATGCCAGAGAAACAAAAGAAAGAGCTGCTCAGTTGCTACAAAAGGGGCCAAAGGGAGGAATAAGCTAATAAGATAACCAGTCCAACATGCAACTTGGTGGGTAGGTAGCTGTGGAAAGGGGCAGGTGGGGTTTGGAAGGATAGACTCGGACAGGGATTTGGAAGGCATCATTGGGAGGGACTGACTGGATGAGTTTGAACATAGCCAAGTGATTATTGAAAATTAATTTAGGTTCTAATGGAATACCTTGTATTTTATTTTTTAAAGAGGAAGCTAAGAAGAGAGAGAGAGAAATTAGTTTGGTGTTCTACTTATGCATTCATTGATTGATTCTTTATGTGTCCTGACAGGGAAGGGGTGGAGGAGGGGGGGAATTCACCTGAAACTTGGGCATATCAGGACAATGCTCTAACCCAGTGTTTCCCAAACTTCTGACATACGTGTACCCCTTCTATAATTTTCGTTACGCCGAGTACCCCTTGTACTCATGAGAACGTAGAATTAGGCGCAGCTAAGCCCGGTGCAGTGCATATCCCCACCAAACTCCGGTGCAACGCGTACCCCCACCAAACTCTTCCTGTACCCCTGGGGGTACGCGTACCACACTTTGGGAAACACTCGGCTACCCTGCCAGGGCCTCTAGTAGAATACCTTATAAAAACAGCTTGATAGTTTGGGAATTTGTATGGATATATTTAAAACGAATCCAAATATCTGTCTCCATTACCGTTTCTCCTCCCAGGGTTAAACATTTTGTTATATAACTTAATATCTTATATAAGTGCTCTCATTTACAATTTAGTTCAAAGATCTATAACCTCCTCCAACTCTGTGGACCAAAAGGTCTTGATACTTTGTGAAAGTTATTTCCCTAATAAAGTTGCCCTTCAGTGCCCAACCTCTGGCTGTTACATTAGTAAAAGGTGTTCAAACGGGTGCTCAGACTGTAAGGAATCAACTGCCAAGGGCTCTCTAATAAGCAGAAATTTCACGTATCTCAGACCTGGGGGGGGGGGCGCTCACGCCTCAGCTGGAGCAAAGCCAAAACCGTCTGGGACTGCAGGTGCACTTGGGCACATCAGGACCTGCTGGAGCAGCAAGCCGGCCTCGTTGCAGTTGATTTAGGAGAGGGCTGGAGGGACGAGCTTCTGCTGACATTTGCAGCTTTGAAAATCCTGCTCCATTAATTGCAGAGTGGATTCTGCTGTAATGATTTTTTTTTTTTTTTTTTTTTTTTTGTAAGATAGTTTCCTCATTTTGAATTCTCTCTTCATTTGGGTTCTGGGTGCTTTCCAGTCTATTTTTATTGTTTTAACTCCTGATATAGGAGGCTCTTTGGAAGTTTTGCCAACACCTGAATGTGCACTCATAAGAGTGGTGCATGGACGCGGATTACGAGCGTCAACACGTTCTTTGTGAGCAAGCAGGAATACAGCCCCTTAGACAGGAATCGGTGCACGCTCCCTTCTGCAGCCTGTAAACCGCCTCTGCCCCCCAGAGAAAACACGGATTTCGCTTTTACTACTGAAAGAGGGCACCTCAGCTTCGTGTGTTTGCTGAGATCTTTCTTTCTCGGCAGTGTGATTTCTGGACCCTCGTTTTTGAGGTCTGAGGTATGTCGTTATCCCTTTAGACGGCTAGTGCTCTGAGGCTGGTGTGTTTTGGGTGTTTTTTTGTTTTGTTTTGTTTTTAAGTACTGGTCCAGGAAGCTGTTTCCTCTGCTGCCTCACTGTGGACTTTGGGCCAGTCATTGGCTTTCTGGGCCTCCCCTTCCTCGGCTCTTCCATTCCATGGAACTGGAAGAAGTGGGTGGATAGCATCCCCCATGTCTTTGGATCAAAGCTGCTGGGGGCTCTGCAGCATGCATACAGTTTCTGGAGCTGCTCAGACGCACTTGCCCCAACAAAAGGCCACTGCCTCCAGGATAAGGAAGTCAGGTCTACAAAAACCCAAATTCAAACTCTTGGATATCTGATTATAGGAGGCTTTTCACACTTATATCTTGCTGCCTCCACGGATCCTATGCTCTGTTCACATAGAAATTCTGGCATCTTCCTGAGTAACCACCATTCTGCAAATATCTTTGAGGCCCAGGGATTGTGGCTGCAGTGCTGAAGAAGACACCTCCCTTTAACGTTACAAGGCAAGTTAAACAGATGATTACAAAGCAGGGTGACATGCTTGGAATCCTGTCTCTGGCCCTGTGCCACCATGATCTCTGCCCCACCTATTCAGCTTCCATTGTCACCGCTGTGAAGTTGACCCCAGGCCTTAACTAAATGTTTCTCAAACGGTCTTCTCAGGGCGTTTCCTATCACTTTAACCACATGGTATCTCACACCAGGTAGGCTGGGTCTCCGTTTTTCCTCCCCACGAGACCGCTAGCGCTCAGCTGCGGTACGATTTCTTCAGCTCACCTCCAGGCCTCAAAAAAGAGCACACCGGCGGCGGCCGAGCCCTCAGTAAATGCAGAACGAACCAATCAATGCAAGAATGAATGTGCAACCCCCGTCTTGCAAAGTGCTTTTTCGAAGCTAGCTGACTTTGCTTTCCGTGCCTAGGCAGCTCCGGTGAACTGCACGGTGTAAAGGTCAGGAGTTGGCGGCGTGGGTGGAAGGTCCGTCAGAGGCGAAAGGAAGGAGGAGGTGAGGTGGAGCGCCGCCACTCGGCTCCCTCCCGCTGCCCACGTCCGGTGAGCTTACAGGGGACTGGTCTCCTGGCAACTCCTTCATCTCCCGGAAGCGGCTCGTGGCCCCGCCCCTCCAGGTGGGCGTGGCCTCATGAATAATGCACAGACGGGGGAGGGGCCGGCCCCGCCCCCTCGGGCGGGAAGGGGGAAGCGCCGGCCGCGCCGCCTGACTGACTGGAATGAGGGTAGCTGCGGCGGCGGCGGCGGCGGCGGGAGCGGGACAGACGATGGCGGTGTGGACGCGGGCCACCAAAGCGGGGCTGGTGGAGCTGCTGCTGCGAGAGCGCTGGGTCCGAGTGGTCGCCGAGCTGAGCGGGGAGAGCCTGAGCCTGACGGGAGACGCCGCGGCGGCGGGGGAGCCCGAGCCCGCGCTGGGGCTGGCGGCGGCGGCGGCGGCCGCCTTCAACGGCCTCCCGAACGGCGGCAGCGGCGGCGACTCGCTGCCCGGGAGCCCGAGCCGCGGCCTGGGCCCCCCGAGCCCGCCCGCGCCGCCGCGGGGCCCGGCGGTGGAGGCGGGCGCGTCGCCGCCGGTGCGCCGGGTGCGGGTGGTGAAGCAGGAGGCGGGCGGCCTGGGCATCAGCATCAAGGGCGGCCGCGAGAACCGGATGCCGATCCTCATCTCCAAGATCTTCCCGGGGCTGGCGGCCGACCAGAGCCGGGCGCTGCGGCTGGGCGACGCCATCCTGTCGGTGAACGGCACGGACCTGCGCCAGGCCACCCACGACCAGGCCGTGCAGGCGCTCAAGCGCGCGGGCAAGGAGGTGCTGCTGGAAGGTGAGCGGCGGCGGCGGGCGGCGGCGGCGGGCGGCGAGCGGCGGGCGCGGGCGCCGCTCACTTTGTTTCTGTGTCCGTGTCCGTCCCCCCGCCCCTCGGCGGAGCGAGCCCGTTCCCTCCCCCTCCGAGCCCTCCGGTGGCCGGCTCTCCCGGGCCCGGGGTGAGGATGGAAAAGCGGATGCTTCCTGCGGGAAAAGTTGGGCGGCCGCCGGAGTGTGGCTCGCCGCCCCGGGAAAGAGCCGGTGGAGACTTAGTGAACAGCAGCCGCCGCGCTCGGGAGCCCCGCCTGCGCGCGCTTCGCTGGCACCGCGAACTTCCCGGGCTCGGGTTCTGGGGGTGTCCGTGCGCCCCCCCGAGGAGCGCCGGGCCCGCACCTTCTTCTCTCACCTCTGCCGGGCGGGCTGGTTTAAAAAAAAAATAATAATAATAACAGCAACAATAATAATAATACATATATATCCACACGGATGCCATCGGTATGCTTGGGCAAACCACCAAAACGCCGGTTAATTTAATGGGAATTTAACCCATCATTGGCTCTCAACAATACCCAGAGCAGATCGTAGCACTTCCTCGAAGCTAGAAAGCTGAACCAGCAACTCTGTGCGGTTAATGAGCCTTGTTTAACAGGGGAGGCTCACGTGTTTGGGCATTCACTGCCAACTAGAGTTTTTGCCCCTTTTGCAAGAGGCCGGTGCCAGCTTCCTTCCATTCATAGGCATGCTGCTGCCTGGCTTTAAGCAGCTTTTAGAAGCCTGAAATGTTCAATTGCAAGATACGTTTGAATAGTCAGGGTTATTTAGTGTATAGAGTGTCTGTCTCTCCCCCTCCCTCCCCCCAAAAAATGTATACACACTCTTGGAGTCATTATAAAGGCAGTGTTTATTAAAATACATTTCATTTTCAAAGTTGAGCTATCAGCTGTTGAAGTGTGTATATTTTGGGGGGAGGGGCGGGGGGGGGAGGAAGACACCCTGTGTATGTGGTCTGTAACCTAGATCGTTCGTGGTGCATTTGTGGGACCAAAAGGCAAACTAAATCTCCTCTCCTTGGAGGATTCCTGCATGTTGGAGGTGATGGGGTGTCTGTATTGTAAATGTGATCTGAAAAGCCAGTTACTCCAGAAGTTTTTGAGCCATTGGCTTTCTTTCGCTGGTGATTCAGCCATTCAGGAAGCATTTATTGCCTGCCGTATATAGAAGAGAATATAAAAGATGATGTGTCTATTTGTATCTCTACTTAAGGAACTGATAGAAAAATGCAAAATGGACAAGTCATTCATTGATTATGTAGCGCAGACTATATATAAGTGCCAAGGGAATGGAAAAGGCAGGAAGTAGTTAGTGAAAACCAGGATTAGTCATGGAGGACTTTTTCCAGGAGCTGAATCTTGAACCTGGTCTCCAAGGATGCGATGGCAGAGATGACTAAGGAGGGTATCCCTGGCCGAGGGAGAACAAAGGGAAGGGGCAGGGAGGGGCCAATCCTCAAACTGAGATGCCATATCTCCTGCTTGGCAAAGTGATCTTTACTTTTTTCAAAAAAGCTAGTAAGTATTTGGGAACATATTAGTTTGCAAGTACGAAATTCCAGTTGTGAAATTCCAGTGTTCCACATTATAATATCCTCTTTATAAATTTTACTTATATTTCACTTGTAGGTGTAGCTAGACAGTGCTTATAAGTTACTGTTAATAAAGCAGCAAATCAGAAAACCAAACAAGCACTCATAGACACGGACAACAGTATGGTGGTTGCCATGGGGAAGGAGCCTGGGGGTGGGGGTGGGGATAGTAAAGAGTAAAAACGGTCAGAGAAGAAGGGGTCATGGTGACAGAGAAGATTTGGCTTCAGGTAGTGGGCACACAGTGCAATATTCAGATGATGTATCATAGTTTTTTGTACACTGGGAACCTACATAATTTTTTAACCAAATGTTAAAACCCCAATAAATAAATAAAAAATAAATTAGTGTTAATGGAGTAAAATGATAGATTGAGGCTTGGTGGTTTGTATATAAAAAAATAAAAAAATAAAAGCTTAACTGTGTGCTTTTAAATTGGCCCAGCTAAGCATTTGGTTATAAATTCTTAGAGCCAAAAGATTGAATGCAGTACTATTTGTGTAGTACTCAGTGGTGGTGATGGGCAGACATTTCAACCCTTTTTTTTTAAACCCACTTTCAGTTTGAATATAATTTGAACCTGGTATTCATACCAACGAAATGAAAATCATCCAGTAAATGTTTTCATTGGTTTAAAATAGGCCACATGTGCTTTTAGCAGGTTTACAAACGGTGGCATAATAACATTTACTGAATGCCTTTTTGCCTAACACAGGTTCTACTTTACTTTCCCATGCTTGTAAAAGACAAGCACTTTTTGTCCTTATATGTGGAGGGAAGAATAAAATTGTGCTTTCAAGCCAAGGGATATAAAAATAAAATTACTTCGAATGAGCAAAAATCACTGAAAACAGTGATTTAATTGATCCATTCAGACTACTTAAAATGGAGAGCTGGTCTCCCATCCAGGTAGGCCACTTTTTAAAAGGCAGAATTTATGTTTAGCTCTTAGAGTTTTGAAACTGTATTGTTCTTTCATTGGATGTCTCAGAATTTGAAAAGCCGCCTTGACAGAGCACGGCGATGCACTTCTGTGGTCCGGGCAGGGAATTTCAGGCATGCCCTTGCCACCCCCAAGCAAAGGAGAGCTGAAGGCTCTGGCTGCCTGTGGTTAGGGAACTGAGTTAAAGGGTTCCTATTTACCTCACGGATTTGTAGGGAGTATTCATTCATACATCTCACATTTTACTCAACTCTGCCACGTACCAGAGGCATTTGAAGATGCTTAATTTCTGCCCCTCGGGAAGTTTGAGGTTGAGATAAGAAAAAAGTGCAGCAAAGGGCTCTAACAATACAACCCTAAGAGAGAGGATACAGCACAAAGGAAGGAGAAATCTATAGAGCATAGTGGGGATCGGCGGTGGAGGATGGCCAGGAAAAAGTTGACAGAAGTTGAAGCTTAAATTGAGCCTTCCCCTAAGAAGGGAAAGCTGCTACCAGTCAGGACACACAGTGAGAGGCTTTAAGAAGGGAGTCCGCCCAGTGAGGGTAGAGTACAAATGAGGACTTTGTGGCCAGACAGATTCAGGTTTGTTTCTGGCTAGTGCTTTAACCCCCAGGGCTAGTTACTCACCTCGCTAAACCTTGGTTTCCTTATCTCTAAAACCAGGATAGTAATAATGCCTCCCTCAGAGGTTGTTATTCATTTGACAGTTTATGTGCTGGGTACTTTTTAGGTACTGGCATAGAGCAGTAAACAGCACAACAATAACAAAACCACACACACACACACACACACACAAAGCGTGAATGAGAAAAATAGGACGGGGCCATGCAGATGTGCCTTGAGTTAACAAAGAACTTCTGAAAATAGCCAGGATAACGCATTGTTAAAAGGCTCCATTTCACTTTATAAGAATTATTTTAGGTTGTACAGGTTAAGAATGAGTTTGCATTTCTTGGATGTAAACACCTTTTTTTTCTAATCTTGTCTTCCTGTTTTTCTATCACCTCTGATCTAGGCCAACTTTTTATCCTTAAATTTTGCATTTAGTTTTTCCTACCTCTGACTTTTCCTCTTCACACTTACTACTCAGAACCTTAACACTTGCTATTAACACTGTGCTTGTAGTTTGACTAGTGTTTGTTGGCACTGATATTAAGATATGCAGAGATAATACAGATTGGAAGCACAAAGGGTGACTATTTACCTATCAGATATTGTATATTGAATTTGCTGTATCCTGAATGCTAGGAATAGGATTTATCCATAAAGCTTTTAGATGAAGCTTTTAGGGCCATAAAATTGGTTAAATGAATATGCACTAGACTACACACCAAAAAGTGTTCCAGATAAGGTTAGGAAAGACAGAATAAAATATCAAACCCTAAACTGGACAGAAGGCAATCCAGTTTAGGGTTTGATATTTGAGAAAAGATCAATATTTTTAAAGTCTCATTGGAATATTGTTGGGAAATCATCTTTTACTGCCTGAATATGGTTCTTAAAGAATTACTCTGAAATATATTGAAAAGAAAATAGTTAAGTGTATAGAGGAAGTAGATTGGCATGAAAATTAACTTCAAAATTAAAAATAATTTTTGTATCTAGAATAGTTTGAGATTTTGAGTGTCATATATAATATGGCTTGCTGTATATGTTAGGGGAAATGTAACATATAATGCTGACATTATTATGCTGCGAAATTAAGCTAGCTTCGATTCCTACACTGCCACTTTCTTCGTATGTTGGACAAGTTGAGAGTTTCCTAGAAAAAACATTTGACATTTTCATTGAGGTTTTGCGTGAATATTCATGAATCTCTCTCTTAAAGAATAACTAAAGTGTCAGAATATCTGTATTTCTGCGCTTTTGTTGTTGTCTAGCCTCTCTACGTAGCACTTGAATGATTAGACAGATGTGTTTGTCTGAGAAGCTATGTCTTTGTAATCAGATTATTTTTTACAGAGTTTCCTTCGTGTGAAAATATGCCCTTTAAGTTATTATCAAAGTACAAGAAGTTTATTGATTCTAATTCAGAGTAATTATGAAAATTCTCAGAATACTTTTAGAAAACATAACCAGGCTTTAATTTAGATCTCAACTGATGACTTGGTAACTTCAACCTATATAGTTTGTGTTGTGTAATCATTCCAGGATAAAAGTTACTTTCTTTTGTGCTCAAATGTGTGCCTTTGTACTTGTAGATAAGATACTAGGAGTGCACCCAGTGGCTATAGAACAGTGGTCGTTCAAAGAATCAGTCACTTTCCTTAGCCACACTGTTCTAACAGAAGGACAGAAATGTCGCTTGCTTACATTTTCCACTAAAATGCCTTGTATTTTTATGAGGATTTTTAAATTACCTGTGCATTTTTTTCTGCATTTTCTCCTTTGACCTTTATACCGTCCTTTGAAGTGGCGGGCTGTTTTATTTTTGTTTTACAAAGGATTATACTGAAGTTCATTAAAGTTAGGTGAGTTACCAAAGGTATCAGAATTTCTCTTGGTTTCTAAAGGAAAATTTTTAATGTTTCCTTTGGACAAGATGAAAAATCTTACCTGGAGTTTAAAAAGTTGTAAAGTCTCATCTTCCAGATGAGAAATCAATGACCCAGAGAGGTTAGCGCACCATGTTTAAGGTCACCTAATTAGTGGTGGAACTTGGACTAAAACCCAGTGCAGTGCTTTCTCCCTTGTACCGGGTGCCTATAGTCAGTCAGATCTTTTAGCACCTCTATGCATCATGTTGCAGTGTGTTCTTTTTTTTTTCTTTTTTTTTAATATATTTTATTGATTTTTTTACAGAGAGGAAGGGAGAGGGATAGAGAATTAGAAACATCAATCAGCTGCCTCCCGCACACCCCTAACTGGGGATGTGATGTGCCTGCAACCAAGGTACATGCCCTTGACCGGAATTGAACCCGGGACCCTTCAGACTGCAGGCCGACACTCTATCCACTGAGCCAAACCGGTTAGGGCTGCAGTGTGTTCTTAAGAAAACGGTGTGCTAAAGAAGTTGAAGGTGGTCCCTGGCATCCAAAACTTAGACTAACATGGGGGAGAGAAAAATGCCACATAGAGAGTAACTGCTAACATGTGTAATACTCGCTCTCCAAGAGTTCTCTGAAGAGATGGCTAAATTGGGAGACGGGAGAGCTGAGTATGACTTCATGGGGAGAGGATGGTTTGATCTGAGACCTGCGGGGCAGGTTGCTGCTCTATATGGAAGGCAGTCAGTCCAGTTGAGGGGCTAACTTGAGCAAAAACCAAAATGAGCATGGCATATGATAGGAGGTGAGTCTAGGAATGGATTTGGGGAAAGAAGTAAAGCTGGGTAGATAAAGTGGAGCCAGATTATGCAAGGCCTGAAAGCCAGCCAGAGGAATTTGGACCTTTTTCATTCTGTCAGTCAACATTTATTTTATTAAGTACCCATTGCAAACAAGGTGCTAGGGTAAATGCTGGGAATTCCAAATGGGGAGTAATCCCTGCCCTTTAGGCTAGTAAGGAAACAGTTACGGCAGGTTGTGAGAGTGCTTTAAAAGAGGTGAGAACATGATGCCCTGGAAGCAGAGGTAGAAGCTCAAAGGAGACAACATGTCAAAGCTAAGAAAGCGATGGTATCTGGTGTGTTGAGAGAAGTAAAGCATGGTGAAGTATGGTAAGCGTGTACCTGGAGAACGGGCTGGAAAGGTGGGCAGAAGCCAAATCACCAAGGGTCCTGTGTGCAGTGCCAAGCAGTGTCTCCGTGGGGTGTATATAGGGTGGGGCAAAAGTAGGTTTATTCGAAACAGTTTATTCTTATATTATTTCTTAATTTCCATACAAACAACTGTAAACCTACTTTTGCCCCACCCTATATTTACTTCTCAAACTGAAAAAAGGTTTTAGGCTTTATTAATATTTAATGTATAGATGACACTAGCTCATTCTCTCACTCAGGCTTATAAGACCGTGCTATTACACATTCAGCATACAAGTGATATCTTGGGAAGAGCGGAAGCTTCACAAAGAAGAGGAACTGATTGTGGTCACCTTACTTAATTTGTCTGCTATTATCATATTGCAGTCCGATAGAGTGGATTTACTTTATATTATCTGCTTCTAACTAAATCTTCACACAATGAACATGTGGCTTAAAGATTTGTACAAAGAAACCATGGATGAAGGTAATTCTAACGCAACAAACAATAACAAAGCGGTAGAGCTGACATTTCTCCTAGGAGGAGCTCTTTAGAGAAGTCAGCCTCAAAAATGAATTTGCCAAATAGACTATGTGAAATGTGGATTAATACATTGTCATTAGTAATGCACTTCACCCTGAGAATATTGTACTTGGAGACATATAGTAGCTAATGATAGTATGAGTTCATCAGAGGTATGTTTGTGTATTTATTTCATCTTTACCTCATTCTTTCTAGAATTCTATACTTTATAGGTTTTATACTACACATTACATACATCAATGAATATTCATAGGTTGAGGGTATAGACTCACATTTTTACTGAAGGGCGTGTACTGTTAAAAGTTTTAGCCTGGCCAAAACCGGTTTGGCTCAGTGGATAGAGCGTTGGCCTGCAGACTGAAAGGTCCCAGGTTCGATTCCGGTCAAGGGCATGTACCTTGGTTGGGGGCACATCCCCAGTAGGGGGTGTGCAAGAGGCAGCTGGTCGATGTTTCTCTCTCATCGACATTTCTAGCTCTCTATCCTTCTCTCCTCCTCTCTGTAAAAAATCAATAAAATATATTAAAAAATAATAATAATAAAATAAAATATATTAAGAAAAAAAAAAGTTTTAGGCCTGGAGCCCTGGAAGGTGTTCAAAAGGGTTTTCCCATTCGATTCCTGGTCAAGGCACATGCCCGGGTTGCAGGGACCCCAGTGGGGAAGATGAGGTGGAGAGGGAAGGAGCCGATTGATGTTTGACTCTCAAATTGATGTTTATCTCTCTCTCTCTCTCTCTCTCTCTCTCTCTCTCTCTCTCTCTCTCTCTCTCTCAAAATATCAATAAAAATGTAAAATAAAAAGTTTCAGGCCTGGGGAGCCACTAAGGCTTAAAAGTGCTTCAAGTGAGAAAGTGCTGTAAGTGAGGCTGCACTGTCTTAGAAAGTTTAGAGTGGCAGAGGGAATGGAGGAGTTCAAGACGTAAGAAAAAGCAGGTAGAAGGCTGTTGTGACACCATAAGGATAGTGACACCAGATAAGACAATATGAAACTGAAAAGCACTAAGCACATAGAAACAGCAGGTCTAAACGCTCAGTCTGAAGCCCTGGCCAGTGTACCTCAGGAGCATCCTCCCATACATTGTCCTGGCCGGGCACATGCTGAAGTCGCAGTTCAGTCCCTGGTCAGGCATAAGGCAGCCAGTCTATTTCTCTCTCTTTCTCTCCCTCTCTCTAAAATCAATAAGCATGTCCTCGGGTTCAGATTTAAAACAAACAAAAAATAATAATAGTTTGTTTGGAGGCTGAAGGAGAGAGAAAAGTGGAGGATAACTCCTAGATTTCTGGCTTGGGGAACTGGATAGCTATGAAACCAGTATGAACAGTGGAAGAACTAGTTTTTTGGGTGAAGATAAGACGTTTTATTTGGGACATGTTAAATTTGAGTAACCTGCGTGACCTCCGGTGCAGAAGGCCAGGTGTGTACTTCAGACTGACTACTGGAGAAATCAGGAGAAATGTCAAAGCTGAGCTGAAGATTTAAGATGTCAGAGTAGAGGCGGCAATTGATCCCGTGGGGATGTGATCATCCAGGCAGTGCAAATTAAAAAGAAGAGTAGGGCCAGGATGGGAACTCGCAGAACTCTTCCATTTCAAGTGAAAGCGGAGAAAAGCAAAGCAGGAAAGATAGTCCCGGATGTAGGGAGAGAGTCTGGAGAAAGGGTGCAGTGGGAGTTAGGGAGGCAGGGGCTTCAGAAGTGGGCTGACCAGCATCCAGATGCTACCAAGAAGCCACGAAAGTCAAGGACGAAAGAGTAATCAGTTGGGTTTGGTATTCAGAGAGCAAGGTGTTAGAGTTCTCGTAAAAGCAATTCCAGAAGAGTGACAGGAGCCGAAGCTAGTGAGCAGACTGTACCTTTGTAAAGCTTCTCAGAAAAACAAAAGAAGCAAAGATGGTAACTAGAGTTGAATGACGTGTCCAAGGAAGATTTTACTTTTGGGGTGGTTTGTTTTTCATTTTGTATTGTTCTAAATGGGAAAAGAAGAGATAGAAGGGACGGGAACTGATGCAATCCATTTTTGAGCCAGGAAGTGACATGATGGGAACAGAATTTTGGTTGGCAGCAGTGGATACATTGGATGCAATGCAAGGAGGAAGGACCAAAGGTGGGAACACTACAGCTGTTGGAATAAAATGCAGTCTAAGCCAGAGGCGATGACCATTGAAGGGGGTGGAGGTAGTAACGGTGGAGCTGGGAATAGAGAGGAAGATTCCATTCAAGAAACATTTTTTAAAAATTGATTTTGAGAGAGAGAGGGAAGGCTAAAGAGAGAAAGGGCTGGAGGGGAAGAGAGAGAGAGAGATTTGTTCACATATTTAAACATTCATTGGTTGCTTCTTGTATGTGCCCTGATGGCGATTGAACCCATGAACTTGGCGTGTGGGAACAATGCTCTAACCAACTGTGTTACCTGGCCAGGGCCTCAAGAAGCATTTTAAAGCAGGCGATTCTGCCAGGGGACAGTAGAATCCATGAGGGACATTTTCTCACCTGGACAGTCTCCTTCTGACTTCCCACACACCCAAAGATTTGATACTTGTAGAGAATCTCTGGCGGTTAACCTTGTTGGTAGCACAGGTATTGGATCCCTAGAGACTGGGGTGGAGAATTGAAAGCCAGTTTTAAAGAAAGAAATGACAGGATGTGGGGCAGACTGGATACAGTGAATTAGCCTTGAGATTTCTACCTGAGGACACTAGAAGATTGGTTATTATCAGTGGAAGGGGGTGAATGGAAAAATGGGGAGGGTGTTAAGCTCATACTATTAAGCTTTGTAATAAACCACTTAGGCAGTGTAACGCTGGCTATGGGGACTGAGCAGAAAAACTTTAGGGTCACAAAGCATAAGAACATATTCTTCCTTTATTTTGTTGTTGTTGTTTTTCTCTAAATTAGAGAAATGAGCTTTTGACCTTTCCTCTGAAGAAATTATAGTGTGTTCAGGTAAGTTTAAAATTTTGTCTCTGGAAAAATACATTTGATTTAGTTATTTTAAGTGTTGTTCTAAGGAAAATACACTGATTCCCTTATCAAATTTTATGTTCAAATTCAGTTTAAAAACAAAACTCATGAAATAATTGTGTATATGAGCAAAGTGCCAGTGATTATGGTGTCCATAGATATACCTTTGGGAAAGAGTAAGAGTTACAAAACTCAAATCTGGTTTTGTTTCTGTAACCAGGCTCCCGAGACATTGTTAAAATGCTTTGACATATAACTAGGTATGAATATGTGAAGTGCAGATATTTTTTAATTCCTTTGGCTTTTCTGCAAAATTTTTTTTCTTTCTACCGTCTTCTGTTCCTCTTGTTTTTGAATTTGCAAATTATTTAAAATGCTTTATGAAAAGTAAACTGAATAGAGATGAGAAAGTTGAGTCCTCTGTTTTTCCATTTAACTAATCTGTCATTTGTGTAAAATGTTACACCTCACCTTTGAAAAATGGTTTAATTGTTCATTGAAAGAGACTCAGGTTCTGGCTGGGTTGCTCAGTTGGTTGGAGTATCATTCTGTACATCTGAAGGTGGCAGGTTCATTCCTTGTCATGTCACATATGTATTGTAGGTTGCAGGTTCGATCCACAGTTGGAGTGCATATGAAAGGTAACCGATCGATAATCAGCCCCCCCCTTCCTCTCTAAAATCAATTTTTAAAAAACATACCCTCAGGTGAGGATTAAAAAAAAGGAGAGATTCAGAAAAATCACAAATTTATTTATTTTTAGTAAAATGAGTTGATTAATAACAAAAAAATTATAGTACACACTCCTTATTCAGGGCTCTTTTGGTTTCAGAGCCTAGAAGCCCCTTCAAGCTAGCTCACATAGAGGATGGAGGAGGTGCTGTAAGATACTGACAGGCCTCAGAGCTCCTGGGAGAGCCGAGCAGCCAGGCCTCAGGACCACCGCTCACTCCCTCATGTCTCCTCTCGAAGCTTTGCTGTTTTTCACTCTAACAGTATCTTTTGCACCAGTTTTGTTCTAGTCCTTTTGTGGTTTCATTTTTTTATGTTTAACTCTTTAACCTATGTAGAGTTTATTTTGGCATGTGAGCATGCAGTAGAGATGTAACTATTTATTTTCTCAAATAGTTAGCTGA